TACCGGCATAGTACCAATGCCGCTAGTAATGAAACATACATATAGTTATAACTCTGATTTAGTCTTAGAACATTTCATGGCTTTTGGTGAAGTTGGGTCGCTATCGCAGACTTTGTCGCTGAGCGATTACATCGTCCCATATGAAAATCAACCAATACAGTGAAACATGAGTATCCATGACTTAAAACTACATTATTTTATACTTAAACCTAAATCAGACAGTTTAATTAACTGTTTAACTTCTTCCGTAGTTGGATTAGACAACATACTATTCAAATAGCCAACTACAGGTAAATTAGCTTTTAGAAATTTTTGCGTTTGTAGTAGTGTATGGTTGTGCGTGTTTCCACTTTCCACTATCAAGTGACGATTTTTTGCTTTAGATTGAAATATCTCAGAAACTTTGACCCCCCCCCCCCCCCCCCCCGTAGAGCCCTCGGAGTTTTAAAAACCTAGATGAAAGGAAAAAAAAAAAATTTAAATATCGGTCTCTCCTCTTTGAAGTTTCACTTCTGTCGTGTGTGAATCGCACACACACCTTTTTTTTTTATAAAGTCAAAACCTTTTTCTTTAAAATAAAAACTTGTTTTTATTGAAAACAAAAATCAGAGTGTTGCTAGGGATAAGTATAAAATTAAATAGTAATGTTAGGATATCGAAACATTTTTGTATAGGCCAGAACGATATAGTGGAAACGCGCTCTAAGATCTGAGTAATATACACACCACTACATATGCAAAAATTTCTCGAGACTAATTTCACTGTAGTAGCCTCTTGTTTCCGTCAAAACACAATACTCTCAGACGCTCGTTCCGGAAACATTCCATCAAAACGTGTTGAACATCTTCTATTACACCGCATTCAAGGCAATTAGGTGACGGGACTTTTTTCATCAAGAATGCAAACTTTTTCGATGAAATGTGTCCCGAACGCAATCTCAGTACAGTTTTTAAATTATTTCTATTTAATATTATGTTATATCTATCCAGGGTAAAACCGAAATCTGAGGCTGGATTGTTTTGTACCAAATACCACTCTTACGCGCACGTTTATTATGGAATGAAACCTGCAGTAATCAAGCCTTTGATTATTATACGTGTAGAAATTTAGATGTATTTTATGGATGTAGTACCTATACAAATTAGTTATAAGAAGCAGACAGAAGCGAGTATTTTTATCGCTCTTCTCAAATTCCTTTAACTCTCAAAACAGAGGCGTAGTAACTTAAGTAATCATAACTCACCATCACTCGTGTGTAATCTTCAAACAAGGAAAAAGATAATTGTTATTTAGGCGGTTTAAATGGAATGAAAAGCATTTAGCTACCGCATGGACTGAGTACTTAATCTATACAAATAAATTAAATTGAAGTGTATGTTTGTAATGTCAAAATAATGTTTTTTTTTCATGCTCACACGGTTATTTACACGATACCTATGCCTAAAAACCAGTTAAAATATTTTTTTGTCTGTCAATCTGTCTGTCTGTCTGTCTGTTTGTTCCGGGTAATCTTCAAAACGGCTTGACCGATTTCGATAATATTTTACTATCTATACAAATAAATAAAATTGAAGTATCTGTTTGTAATGTCAAAATAATAGGATTTTTCATGCTCACACGGTTATTTACACGGTAGCTATGCTTAAAAACCAGTTTAAATATTTTTTGTCTGTGTGTCTATCTATCTGTCTGTTTGTTCCGGGTAATCTTCAAAACGGCTTGACCGATTTTGATAATATTTTAATACCAGGTAGCTGTCTATATGAGGAATAACTTAGGCTATTTTTCCATCAGAAAACCCCTATAAAATTTTACCCGGGAGGAATCGAATCCACTAAGCGCTTTTCGAATTCCACGCGGACAGTCGCGGGCACCAGCTAGTCATTTATAAAAGTCACAACATTTACATATAGTGGCGCGGTCAAAACGTGGTAGGTAAAGCCTACAAGAAAAGAACACAACAATAAAAACTTAAAGCCACCCTGTTTCACATGTTCCAACTTACAATATTGAATGTAATGATGGATGAATTAAGAATGTAAAATGTTGCAATTGAAACGCTTTAGCACAAAAACTCATATAAGACGAAATACCTACTTTCTGTTGGCAATGGACTATTTGACTACTTTTAAGAAATCGTTTTAAATTATTGTATAGGTAATAATATGCATATGTAGTACATTATTATTTTAAGGAAATCAGAAAATTTATCTTGAAAAATCAATAATAAAGTTTAAAGTTTTTCTGAAACGCGTCAAAAACGCTGTTTCAAAATAAGGATGTATAAATAGTGTGTAGTGCCATAATATTTAAATACGTCTATAAACGAAAAAAATTTTTGACGCTGAGTACAATATAACGTAAGAGTTATCTTACTTACGATGTCGTATCAGATCTAGTATCTGTTAACAGACAATATACAAATAAAGTACTTGAACCTTTGAAGTATATTGAAAATAATCATTTTTTGTAAATGAAAACGCCAAATGGCATTTCCATTCCGCAAATGGTAGAGCCGTGCCTCTTTGTCGTCAGCTGTTCGCTTCGGATTGAAAGGACTGGATTCGATATCGTATGGAGCAGCGAACTGCCGATCACTATAGGTGTCTACTCTATGTGCCGATCGAAGCGACGAATGAATACGTGCAGCCGATACAAAGAATTGATCAGAATATTAAAGCTTACTTGAGTAGCGAGTCAATAGTGGCGGTACAAAATACGAATTATCATACATCTCATACATTTTGAAAGAACCGTTTCAAATCATTTTTATTTTAGAGTGCCTGACTACATAACCGTTTTACTTAAATAGTTAATTCGTTTTAATTAGAATATTATGTTTGGAAACAAAACGTTTTGAAGCAACTAAAAAGGCGGTCTAAAGTAAAATGAGAACCGTCAATATGAGAGTACAATAATAAATCAATTTAAAAATTTATATTTAAAATTTATGTATACCTACTTACTTTTTTTATTAAAAGGTCTAACAAAAATGACTGATTAACGCACAAAGTATAAACCGAAGTAACTTTCGTTATTAAATCTATAATTCCGTCATTACACCTCAATTTATCTTGCTTTTCTTTAAAATGTAGGTAAAAAGAGCCGGGCCTCAATTCTGCTATTTGGATATTGTATCAATAGACTGTCGATGGCATGTCGTCGGAACAGTTTTGCACTTTTCCTATTCTACTAACAATGTAAGACCAATGGCCTCTCGATGACTTGTCACTGATACAAAAGTCGAAACCCGAAATTTGGCAAAAAGAAACGTCTTACAGCACAAATAAAAAATTAAAAAAGTTGAAAATTAAGATAAATTTTGGTGCTTACAAATTTTCGCGAAAATCTAAGTAAAATCTGGGTAGGTACGGAACAATCGGCGCACGAGTTCGACTAGTGCCTGACGGGTTTTTATTGATTTTTCAGTGAGAAGGAAAGTTCTCATTGGATCTAGAACTTTAAAAGAGTATCTATCTACTGAGAGATACATAATATGTTACTGGATCCATCACGGGTGTGGCCAATGGATCTTTTGATAAAAATTCTCAATAAAACCACATCTTGAATTCAGGATTCAATTGGAAATAAAATCGTCGTTAGATCTATCATGGATCTGGCCAATAGATCCTCTGAGATTGAACGAAACAAAAAAAAACCGATCAGGTACGAGTACCAAAATTGATCTTAATTTTCAATTATTTTTTTTGGAATCATTCCTTTACTGGTGCTGTAAGACGTTTCTTTTTGCCAAATTTCGTGATTCTAGGTCAACGGGAACTACCATATAGGTTTTCGATTAAAAACCTATAGGGTACTTCCGGTTGACCTAGAATTGTCAATTTTGGTTAAAAGCAAGGTCTTAAAGCACAAGGAAAGAGAAAATTCTGAAAAATAAAAAAGGTTCAAAATTAAGGTAAATTTTGGTACTTATCTAAGTTGCGTGCAACGGGAGAAGCCTATGTCCAGCAGTGGACTACGATAGGCTGATGATGAATTCTGAAACTTTCGTTAGGGACAGATTTCAGACACAAGTTTAATTCAGCTCTCGATGACGATTTCCCTAGATATATTCGCACTGCCAGCACCCTGTAGGTTTATACGTATCATCTTACCAATAGAGTCAAAGCAAGGTCTTAAAGCACAAGGAAAGAGAAAATTCTGAAAAATATAAAAGGTTCAACATTAAGGTAAATTTTGGTACTTACAAGTATTCGCGAAGATCGAAATTTGCCCATATCTTTTTATCGTGATGACTCAGGACCTTGATTTTTATACACCTAATAGGGACCATAGACATAGTATCTGGTATAAATTTCAACTTGCTAAGCTACCCGTTTATGAGAAAACGGTGGTGACACACGGACAGACGGACAAGAAAGTGATCTTATAAGGGTTCCTTTTTTACCTTTTGAGGTACGAAACCCTAATAATAAAAATGAATAAACAATGTTTTGTTTTTTATTCAACTTATATGATAAGTCATAGCAAATATAAGCAATAAATTAATATTTATGCCATATTGACATTGCAGTTTAGTGCGCCTTAATTGTTTTAGAAATGAGTGAGAAAGAAGTGTTTAAATGTATTAAAACTGGGCGTGGTAAAGTATAAAAATGAAAGGGCTGCAGATTTCATAAGAATGTTCTTTAGAAAAAAAGGCACTAGTCTCTGGCGTTGTGAAAATTACAAAACTTCAAAATTAAAATATACTAGATCAATATCATTAAATTCGATGAGTGATTTCGCTAGGGAAAAATATTAATTATATTTTAATAATACTAAATATGACCTGTCATAGATAGTAACAAACCTTCAAGTTTTTATTTAATAACGTTTTTCAGTTTTACATAACTACTCAAACTTCTTTAAGTTGTATAGAAGCTAGAAGGCACTTATTGTCTAAAGATGACATGATCTGTCAGGGTTTTACATAAACATATTTCAATAAAAATTTGAAGTTTATTTTCTCTAAAAATCCATTCATATTTTTCTAAATCATGATTGTAAAACCTCGATTTAAGTGCGAAGATTGCATCAAGCCCATAGCGCGGCGATTAGCTTTATTCCAAGCAAAAGACGAATACGAGTGTTATGCAGAAAGTTACGTAAAATGTTTTTGGGGACTTTGCGATCTCCATAAAAGCGAAGATACTTTAATTCCCACTGCAATTAAACAAAGTAAGCCATCAAGCATAATATTGAAGTACCCGCAACTATTACGTCCCTAATTATCACAAAAAGTCACACTTGAGGTAGGATTGTTTTTTTTGACACATAGGGGACAAACGCCTTTGCCCAGAAATTTGAACAGTATTCCATATGCGGCCAGCATCTTCTTACGCCTTATAAAGTAGTAAGTTGTAGGTTGTGAGCCGGTGATAAAAACTGACTCCAACTGTTCAGCACACCGTGCTTATTCGAGGCTAATTTTGTCTTACCCTCCAAGTGACCGTGAAACTGATTTCGCTAGATATTTCTACGCTAAGGATTCCGATGCTAGTTGTGACAGTTAGGGTGGTATCTACTCTCAAAGCGAAGTGATACAATAGTGTCTTTTTGGCGGTGAACGCCTAAAGCTGTGTCTTCATAGGGTTAATTTGACCCAAATCTGAAACTGCACTGGAAAGGGCGTGGCATCAAAATCAAAATACATCTCTTACTTGCGATTCGCAGACGACATCTTCATCATGGCAGAGACGCTGCAGGACCTACAGCAGATGCTGAATGACCTAGCTGACTCTTCTGTACGCATCGGCCTACGGATGAACTTGGTCATGTTTAACGAACATAAACTACCGGAACCGATTGCGGCGCCGTTCTCGAAGTTGTTCAAAGTTATGTGTATCTCGGGCAGTCATTGCAGTTAGGTAAAAACAACTTCGAGGACGAGGTGAACGGAAGAATTCAGTTGGGTTGGGCGTTTGAGAAGCTTCGTTAAGTCTCCTCAACGTCGATCCCACAGTGCCTTAAGACGAAAGTCTTCGATGAGTGCGACCTTCCCGTCTTGACATACGGAGCCGAGACGTGGACACTTATGGTACGACTGATCCACAAGGTCAAAGTCGCTCAACGTGCTATGTTTGGCGTTCTCTAAGGGATCGCAACATGAATGAGGTAATCCGGCAGAGAACCAAGGCCACCGATATAGCCTACCGGATCAGCAAGCTGAAGTGGCAGTGGGCTGGCCATATTAGCCGCAGAACCGACAACCGTTGGGGAAAACGAGTTCTTGAGTGGAGACCGCCCACAGGTCAGGTGGAGTGACGATCTGCGCAAGATGGCTGGCAGGAGCTGGATGCGAGAAGCCCAAAAACGATCTAAGTTGCGTGCAACGGGAGAAGCCTATGTCCAGCAGTGGACTACGATAGGCTGATGATGAATTCTGAAACTTTCGTTAGGGACAGATTTCAGATACGAGTTTAATTCAGCTCTCGATGACGATTTCCCTAGATATATTCGCGCTGCCAGCGCCCTGTAGGTTTATACGTATCATCTTACCAATAGAGTCGAGCTATAAAAAATATTTTTAACGCTAGAACAAAAACAAATCCTACGGTGTTCACGGATCGTCAGCTCAACATGTCTCATGGTGAAGTGATATACCCGAATTCAACCGACTAAAACGAAACTACTGGAACTAAATTTATTCTGTGACTGTAGGAAGCAAACAATAAAAAATAATTTTGATTGTTTACTTCTTTATGCGCTTTTCTGGAACCATCACGCACATTTGAATGTTCTTTTTGTGTTGAATAGAGAATATTCACGACGACGGTTATGGTCTGTATAACATCATGGCACAACTAAATCTGCGGGGGACGACCGGTCTATATATATGTTTAGGTCGATATATATTTTGTTCCTGTAAAAAGACAACTCCCGCATCAGAAATATGTATATCCTGTGTCGCGGGGGACTTTACAAACACACATGCAACGGACACAAAGAACACCCAGACCCAGAACAACATTTGTGGATCACACAAAGTGTCGTCCCATGTGGGGATCGAACCCACAACACTCAGCGTAGTAGGAAGCTGCGCGGCGACCGCTTAAACCACTACGCCATCCGTGCAGTCCATGACGACGATACGATACGAGACGTATTTAGGTCTATGACGACGATAATAATATAATAATAATATGCTCGTTGTAAAATTATAGAAATAAGGTACTGACATTCAACGTTCAAATGACGGGTTTTATATACAAATTGAGTTCTGAGGGTCCATTCTCGTAATAAAAATTGGTTTAAAATTCTTTACTTCATAACGAGTACAATAGGCCGCCTTTATGCATGCTACACGAAAAACGGTATAGGTACGATTTTTTACCTAAATGTCCGAATGCGCTGATTTATTGTTATTATTCTGCAAAGATTGCTTATTTCATGATCAGTTCCTTCCTACGGTGAGGCTGGTGATGGTAATATTTTAGGAACAGCATGGTAACACAAGCGGGTCTCCTTGGACATAACAAGAAAGAAACCAGTATCTAGCATTAAATGGACTCCCGTTAAGGTTTAACTAAAATTTTCTGTTTCAGTAGTCACGGAACAACCAGGGAAACGCCATTTTTAATTCCGTCATACTTCGTGAATAAAATTTCCTTGAAGCCCTACGTCACAATAGACTGCATGTATACATTACACTTTCTACTCCACAAACACATAAAAAATTGAAAACTACATTTTTCAAGAAAACAATATTTACTGTATAAAATAGTTTTTATCATAAACTCGTCTGTTTTTCATTTAATACTTGTCTTACATTAATATTTATCCTAGATTCTTTAATGTAATGTCTAAATTTATCCCATTCTTGGTTACTGGTATTTTGTTTCATAGATGATAGAATTTCTTCGGGATGAACTATGTATTTTAAATCAGAAACATCAAGATTGCTTATTTCATAATCAGTTCCTTCCCACGGTGAGGCTGGTGATGGTAATATTTTAGGAACAGCATGATAACACAAGCGGGTCTCGTTGGACATAACAATAACATCACCACTATTAATAAGAAGTGCTGAAGGTTCTACGGATTTCTCCTTGCCGCCTATTAAAAATATTGCTGACTGGCCAAAACTGCGAAAATAAAGATAAATGAATTTTTTTAAACTTTTTCTTGCTAGAAAAGTAAATTAAATTATACGACAATACTAATGTATTACTACAAATTACAAATTTATAATTTATTACTATATAACTTATTTAGAAGCAAGATAATATTTATAATAAGTATTTACTCTTTAGAGTCTTAAACTATTAAGGTAAAAATCTTTTACCAAAAAAATTGACGATTTTTTTTAAGGGATGAGTCAATAAACAGTGTTAATAAACTTTGTAAATAGTGTTGTGTATATGCTGCAAGCTCAACTCAATATAAAATTTAATACTCATCAGCATAAAGACAGCTATATGATAAAGGTACTCGACCTATCTGGTATCACTAGTTCATACAGGAACCTGCTGTGCCCTATATTATTAGGGTTCCTTGACACTATCCCCAAACATCAGATACAATAACTTGCGCTTCATACGAATTACGATCAGTGGTTACAGGTTCGAACAGGCACTACAAACACTACCACCACAACAATAATAATGTGTGACCCACATTCTTGGAAACAATCTTACAGCTTCACATGTACCATGAAGTCCCTAAGGAATGCCTACATTAAGAATATTTTTTAACATATTTCAATTACCTAAAAGAGAATAGTGGTGCATCCAAATTAATTTCAGAGTGGTCAGTGTGAGCTGACAAAGTAGAATTCATATGATAATAATTGACAATTGCTGCTTCCGCTCGAAAGTTTTTATATCCTAAACATCTGGCAAACACATCTGAAAGTTCTGCTAAATCATTAGGAAATGGAGTCTTATTGTCTTCGCTGTACACCTGGAATGCAAAATTAACAAGTACTTAAATGCTTATAATTTTAATATTAAGGAAGTGCATTTTCTGATGGTATCAGACCACATTATCATTTTTTTTAGAAATATGTCAGAAATACAAAAAAAAAACATTATTTATATTTTGGTAAAATATGGCAACACTATTACAACAAAGTAACATACATTATGTAACAGCTGTTTCTTCCAAATGTATTCTGAAGCTGCTGAGTATGAACTCCTATGAATAAACCTTGAATTCAGTCAAATAATTTTCCTGTAACTACTAAAACTGCAATCAAATATAAAACCAAACAAATTGCCATTACAGCCATGTACTATAATAATTATTGTTTATTTTTATACTCAAGAAGCTTAAATACCAAATTTGTCTATGAATGTTGGTATATTAAATTCTATTAGGATCTTTATTTTAAAGCAGCTTTTGTACATGCTTTTTAGCATTTATAGTGTATAAGATTGTTTCTATTCCTCATGAACTTTTTATTTTGATGTAAGGCATCCTTTGACCTTTGGTTTCTCTCATAATTTTTATACAGAAATTTATATGAGTAGTGAATGTGAAAAGTTAACCAACAAATACATTGGTTAAGTAGAACTCTCATACATACTCATACTCAAATATGATTCGATAAAAACAATCACTCGATTGATTTATATTGAAAGTAAAAGTGAAATCTATTGTGTCCATCCAGAAAACACCCAAACTCAGAACAACAATTTGTGGATGACACCGAGTGTTGTCCCATGTTTTTTTAGGGTTCAAACCAACAACACTCAGCACAGTAGAAAGCAGCGAGGAAACTGCTTAAACCACTATGCCATCCATGCAGTGAATACTACAGAGTAGTATGGGATTACTATTTTTTTTTTTGATATCTTAAATGTGACAAAATATTACAAGATATAGGTTTATCTCATAACACTATTTAAAAATGTATATTAAATCTTAGTATACCTAATCAGTGATTGTATGAAATCTCATAGACATATTGACAAACAGTCATCACTGCACATCCTGGGTCTCTCTTATATTGTGTAGTTATAGTTTAGCCTCAAGTGTAACCTGGGTGTAACTCTTGCTCATTATCAACCTACAGAACTTTATGTGATCAAGCAATATTGTACTTAAGAAAATGATGAACTATGATGAAGCATGAAATAGGTAGTAAGCAGTTTATAAAAATATTAGTTATTTTACTTTTGTATCCCAATTATGATGGTATCCTAATGTAGTCCATCTTAGTTTCTTTAACAGTAGCTTATTGTTATCTGTATTTCCATGACATTCAGCCCACCAATCTTGACAATTGCTTCCTATGTCTATGTTCAATTTATTTGGCTTTCGTGGATATTCTTCTAGACATTTTCTTATCCAGAATCTTTGACCCACATCAGTAAATGGATTTTTTATAAATATCAAACCAGGATGCATTTGAAACTTATATAATTGCCATTCATTTGAACTTCTTAAACCTAAGAGTTGTGTTCTTGGTTCTTCTACTTTTTTATCAGGACATAACTCAGTGACCTGTAAAATAATATTACTCTATACTACAGTGCCCGTAAAATTTGGGTAGGTACCTTATGAGTAAGTAAATTAATCGGTATATACCAAATTAGAGCAACCTTTTTCAACTTTTACAACTTGATCTAAGGATGGCTTGGGTTTATTGGACTTGTAATATTTAAACTTTTTCATAAACTCATCTTTTTCTGACGCTGAAATCTGTATTTGTTCCATTACTTATCAGTATAGTAAAAAATATATTCTACTTATTGATTTTATTTTTACACTAGAATTATATATTACTAATATAAATAAGTCATATTGATTGTGATGGCACGTCTTGAACATGTAGTCCCCCTACAATCTTATGGAAATTTTACAGAATACCTCTTAAGGTAGGGAACGTTGATTGTAGAGAATTTTCACCAAAAAGAACTTAAACTTTAAAAACTATTAGTAATAAATTTCTAACATTTAAAGTTATCTTGATTCTGCAATTTCTAATTCTAATGAGATCTAACATTCACCTATGACATTTCCCCTCAAAGTTGGGAGAAAACGCCGAATTGCAACATCAACATGTTCCGTCAAAAGTAAATTAAGAGGATGTATTGCCAGCTGTCAAATCCTGAGACAAATCGTATCTTGTGTCATGTAAACACACCATTCGGAGGTCTCTGGTGTGTTGAAGCGACAGTAGTGAGTTTTTAGGTTATTTTCTGAATTTTGGCACATAATTTCATATTGTGCTTTCGTAATAGTGTTTGTGTGGTTCTGTTGCAGGAATAATCTTTAACAAGGTTAGTGAATATTAACAACCGCGCTCATTTCTACGGAAATGAGCGCGGAAGACTCCCCTGATGGGGGCGGTGTGTTACCCCCCGATAAACCCAAAGCTATAAAGCGACAATCTGACTCAGTCTTTCCCGTTGACTTCGACGGAAAGAAAATACGTTCACCAGCTAAAATCGATTCAGTCAATTTTCTCAAAACCTGGATTTGAGTCTGATTCCAGGCTCGAATACTCGGTATCAGACTAGGGTCCATATTCTGTGTATGTTTCTAGGCTTGAACCTGATCCATCATCCGGCCTGTCTTTTAAGGCACTCAAACTCGCCCAGTTCTTATACAAAAACAAAATACCTGATATTGTAGAGGGAACCATTAAAAATATGGGTCGTAACAAAGTCTGTGTGGAATTTATGTCCGCTATCTCAGCGAATAATTTTGTTAACTCCCCAATTGTCAGACAATATAATTATCGTATGGGTGTTGTTAGGGATATCCCTACTGAGTGGACTCTAGAGGAACTAGTATCTGGAATATCTGTCCCTAAGAATTGTGGCGAAGTTGTTCGAGCTAGACGTCTTAATGTTAAGAATAGAAAAGATGGAGTATCCGTTTGGGTCCCATCGAACTCTGTGGTCCTTACATTTCTAGGACAGAGTCTGCCAGAATTTTTTTTTGTTTTAATGCATCTCTGCCAGTGTCGCTTTACCATTTACCTACCATACAATGTAGGAATTGTTGTCGGTTCGGCCACATTGCCAAACAATGTAGGTCCCAGCCCCGCTGCTATAAATGTGCTCAGCCGCATTCTGGTGACTCCTGCCTGGTTCATGACTCGGAGATATCTTGTTTTTTATGTCATGGTGGTAGCCATTGTGCTACTGATAACAGATGTCCCGAACATAACAGACAAAAATCCATAAAAAGTGTCATGTCTCAGGAAAACCTTAGCTATATGGAAGCATCAGCTAGATTTCCACAGTTTGCCAAGCGGCTATATTCTGAGGCTGCTGCCAGTCCCAAATCCCCTGCTAATTTCCCTCTAAACCCTCAAACTCATCCATCCATCGTACCTCTCCCATCTGCTTCTCCCTCTAAATCATACAAAAAAACAGTTAACCTTCCCCCTCGCCATATATCTATGTCTGGGAAGACATATGATATTCATGCCCATAATGCAATTACTCAGTCCCCAACTTCTATCCACCCTAATGGTTGTTGTCTTATCCCCCCTACTGAAACAACTCCTCTCGCTACTCCTAATGACAATCTTGTACAGCTCCTTCTTTGCTCTTTAATTAACATGCTGTCTAAAATGTCAGATGCCTTACCGTACGACGTTGCAGTTCTTGTTGAACAACTACTTTCGGTTATCACAAAAAATAATGCTTTCAATGGCTCTCCAGGTCCTCCAATGGAATTGTAGGAGTATCCGACGTAACAAACAAGATATCTCTTACTTGATCAATCAACATAAACCTGTTGTTTTTGCAGTTTCCGAAACGTGGTTAAAGCCTGAATTCCATTTTAGAATTCCTGGTTTCTCTTGTCTTCGGGATGATAGAAGTGATGGTTATGCTGGTTGTGCCTTATTGGTCAATAGGAATATTTCATTCTCTCTAATCTTATTACCAAACCACTCTCTTGGCTTAAATATAGTGGCCCTCAGAGCTTTTAATGTTTCCTTTGTCTCTGTCTATATTCCCCATCCCAACACAAGCATTCTTCTTGAATTAAAAACAATTCTTTCAACTATCCCCTCCCCTATGATTGTTTTAGGAGACTTTAACTGCCGTCACACTCTATGGGGATCTCACTGTATTGACTTATGCTCCTCTGTCTTACTTGACGTTATGGATGATTGCAACTTGTGCATCCTTAATGATGGATCCGCAACTCGTAGAGTTTCTCCATGCCAAAATATTAGTGTTCCAGATTTAACACTATCTTCTCCTTCCCTAGTCTCCCTCCTATCCTGGTCCCCCCTGCCAAACTCCCTTGGTAGTGATCACTTCCCTATTTTAATCTCATACTCTACTTCATATGTTCCCCAAACCCTACATCCCCTCCTCAAATACAGAGTTTCCCAATTGGGAGCAATTTGCAACATCACTAGATCTAAATTTAACCACTCTCCCTCAAACAAATTCCTTTAATTTTCTTGTCCTCTATGACCAATTTATCTCTGCAATTAACTCAGCTGCTGACTGCTCTATTCCCCTCAAACTTCCTTCCAATAAATTGACTGCTTCTCCCCCTTGGTGGGATTCTGAATGTACTGCCAGTGTTAAGAAACGCAGGGAGGCTGAGAACAAATTTGCTGCATCCCTTTCTATGTCGGATTTCCTCAATTTAAAAAAAAATGCTGCCAGCACAACTAGACTTCTTTCTGCTAAAAAATCTTTAGGATGGCGTTCATTTTGTGAGTCCTTATCTCCTCGCTCTAGTCTCTCACTTGTCTGGAAAAAATTCAAGTCATTCCGAAAAAGTCTTGACGTAAGAAATATCTCTAGCAATGACCCTCATTCATTCCTACACGACTTCCTTAGCCAACTGGCTCCTCCATATGCTCCAGGTTTCGATTGTTTCCCACCTTCCTATCCGTTTATTCCAGATTCCTCTCAAAATACCATGGATGATCCCTTCTCTTTCACAGAACTATCCTTTGCTCTAGATAATCTCCACGATTCCTCTCCCGGCGTTGACGGTATCCCTTACTCTTTTATTCGTAAATCCTGCAATTCTTCCAAAATTTTCTTCCTCAGTATCCTCAATGCCATCTTTTATTTTGGTCAAATACCTGAATCTTGGAAGACCCAAATCGTCATTCCTGTTTTGAAACCTGGTAGAGATCCCAGAAATTCGTCTTCCTATCGCCCTATTGCGCTCTCCTCAGTACTAGCTAAAATAATGGAAACCTTAATTAAATTCAGACTCGAATGGTTTCTAGAACACAACGAATTGTTAGCCAAAAACCAGTATGGCTTTAGAAAAGGCACTTTAGGCACTTTAGATAGCCTCAGCATCCTCTCCTCTGAAATTCGCCTTGCATTTTCTCGAATGAATGAATCGAATGAAAGAATGTAATCGGTGTTTTCTTGGACATCTCTGCACCCTATGACAATGTACATCTTCCTCTTCTCAGGCAGAAAATGCTACATCTGAGTATTCCAGCGAGGATCTGCAATATGCTCATGTGTCGTACTATCTCTATTCGTCATCAAGGTTCTTTTCTCCCTCCTCGTCTTGTATGGAAGGGCCTTCCGCAGGGTTCAGTGCTTAGTCCCATTCTTTATAATATTTATACTTTCGACCTAGACCAGTCTATCAGTTCTTTTTGTAAAGTTCTTCAATATGCTGATGATGTTGCCATATATTTTTCGTCATCCTCCTTCTCTACTGCCACTTCCCGTTTGAATTCCGCTCTGTATTATTTAAACGTTTGGCTATTGAACCACAATCTTTCTCTGTCTGTTTCTAAATGTAGTGCTCTTGTTTTCTCTCGCAAACGTAATATCCCTGATATCAACCTTTCTGTAGCAGGCGAACTAATTCCAATAAAAGATTCCATAAAGTTTTTAGGCCTCATTCTTGATTCTAAATTATCTGGTATTCACCATCTAAACCATGTTATTAAAAAGAGCGAGGGGGGTGTGAACGTTATGCGGGCCTTATCTGGGGTCCGCTGGGGCTCTCACCCCTTTTGCCAGAAACTTTTATACAATGCCATAGTTCGGAGTCACTTTGATTATGGTTCTTTCCTTCTGGAACCATGTAATAGAGTTGCTCTGTCTAAGCTTCAGCTGATCCAGTCTAAGTGCCTTCGAATCATAACTGGTGCTATGAAATGCTCTCCAGTGAATGCCCTCCAAGTCGAATGCTTGGAACCTCCCCTTCATCTTCGCCGCCAATTCTTAGCTGACAGATACTTCTTTAATGCAGTCCAAATTAATTCCCATCCCCTTCTTCCAATTCTGTCTCAACTTTCTAGTCTGGCCACTATCGCATTGTACTGGAGACACAAGTCCCTCCCTTTGCTTCTTAAATCCTTTATTAAAATGAAAAATCTATCTGATCCTATCTTTCAATCTTCTTTAAATCCTCTTTTTGAGCTCGACTATAATGCGTTAACCTTCCTACCAAAAATCATCCTTGACTTTGGCATCAATAAACATTCTCCGGCAGCCAACCAAAACTTTCTCCACATCATCGCGGAGGATTGGTCTGATTGGGTTACGCTTTATACAGATGCATCAAAACTTTCTTCAGATGCCTTTGTTGGTTCTGCAGTTTGGATTCCCAAATTTAAAATTATACTAAGTTATAAATGCTCTTCCTACAACTCTATCTTTTCAGGAGAATCTATTGCCTTATTAGAAGCGGTCTCCTATGTGGAATCTCATAAGCTTGATAAGTCCCTTATTTGATCAGACTCCTTGAGCTGCCTACAAGATCTTTTAAAAAATCCTTTCAAAGCTCGCAATAATTTCCCTATAATTCTTAAAATTAAAGAGGTTCTTCACAGATGCCTATTGTCTGGTATTGAAGTAGTTCTAGCATGGATCCCCAGTCATTCAGGTATAGCAGGCAATGAAACTGCGGACTCCTGCGCCAAAATAGCAGCTCAGACTGGATGCGCTAGCCACAAATTCTGCTTCGCCGGAGATCTGCGCTCCCTAGCCAAACTTTCATTGATTGAGTCCTGGAATAACACATGGCAAAGCAGTAGAATGATCAAGGGTAAATTTTACGGCTCTTTACAACCCTTAATTCCTGCTAGATCCTGGTTCTTCATACAAAAACATGTTAATAAGTCAGCCACCTCTACTATAATTCGTTTACGATTAGGATTTGTCAGTACCCCAGTTTTTCTTGCCAAAATTCGAGTTCGTGATCACTCTCTATGTGAGTGTGGTCTCGATGAAGGCACTCTGGAACATATTTTCTTTTCTTGTCCTAAATTGGTCGTACCTCTGTATGATCTACTCCCTCAACAAATATCCCGACCCGTTAATTTGGCTTATCTCTTAACTCTAGTATATACCCCATTTGTCAGGATCCTTTACCATTTTATTCGTATAAATAAAATAAATTTATAAAGTTTCCTAATACCTTTACTGCTATATTTTTTTCTACTGTCCTTTTTCTTTTTTTTTTCTCTACTGTCCCACAGAACCACATACAGAAACTATTGAAATCACAACAATTCCCTCTTGGTATTCAAAATATTTTCAACCTATTAACTAATAAATCTACCTCCCACCTAGACATTGGCAAAATCATCGACATCCGATGGAGCCACTGAATTAAAGGAAGAAGAAGAAACACACCATTCGAGTGCACTAGGCGTCGGATACCCATCAGACTGGACTCGGACGCGGTTCTATTTTTTCGAATGCTTTTATGTAAGCAAAATGGCGTCAAAAAAAAAAAGCGAAGTGATCATGACTGTATGAGATTTTTGGAGTTTTATTAAGAGGAGAAAGTGTTGTGGAATGTGAGGCTAAATGAATATAAAAAAGACGCCTAAAATCTGCAATACAAAGCATAATGCACGGATGGCGTAGTGGTTTAAGTGGTTGCCACGCCGCTTACTACTACGATGAGTGTTGTGGGTCCGATCCCCACATGGGACGACACTTTGTGCGATCTACAAATAGTTGTTCTGAGTCCGGGTGTTCTTTGTGTCCGTTTCGTGTATGTTTGTAAAGTCCCCATTGAACTGCGGGAGTTGTCTTTAAAAAAAAAAGAACTTAGACATACCTGAACTTATGGCACCAAGACGTGAACAACAAATTCAATAATATCTAGAATACGTACTCGCAAGAACTATTAAAAATAAAAATAAAATCAACAGTGTATTTAATAAAATAAAAAATCCATTATTTCTATCGTGTATAATAAAAAAAGGAAACGTTTTATGAAATGTTTAGGGCTTATAACAGTTAATTAATAAATAACATTAGTAGTTTATTTGCTGTTGTTTTATAAAAATGTTTTACTAATGAAAGAAAACACAGGTATTTCAGAATATTCTGCTACTTTGCCATGTGAAGACAGACACATTCTCTCTGTATGATTGGAGCTTGATTTTTGTCTCCATGTACCAGGTCTTGTAAGTTCTCATGTAAGTGCGTTGTAACGCAAGGCTGTCTTAATCAACCAGTTATGTAGGGCACAAGTTGCTCTTTACTCTTTTATAGACTATCTGCCATTATTTCTATGCTTCACAGAAGATCGTTATCATCGGACATCTTAAAAATCTATTAATTATTTACTGATGGGAAATCACATATCTTACGGATGTATATATTTAAAAAATACGAATATTTCGCCACCTAAGCAATGCTATCCTTTTTATATTTCCAACACCCTACAATATTGACTTTGGACTTGAGCTTTTTTCGAAATTCAATTAATCTTAATTTTTTTGGAACATATACTTAAAATTTAACAACAACTAATTGATTTCAGCTAATAAAAAAGGAAATAACGTTAAATAGTACAATTTAATTAACTCCAAATATTTAACTGATTATTATATTATATATATTATCATGGCAATATAAAAATGAAGCTCAATTTACTGTCAGGAAAGTCATAACAAAGTTTAAAGTTGACAAATTCAGATTGAAAATTGTTTTTTTCAGTTTCTTAACCATTCTCATAAACTCTCACTTACAGAAAATAAAGATACAATAAAAGCAACATGAGTACGAGCACATCACACACCGAGCAAACAATAGATGTAAAGGTATATTGTTAAATTTTAATGTTTAAATCAACTACAATACATTTATTTTTGGGAATCTAATGTAAATGTAAACCAAAACACGGCAATTGTGTTCACTTTCCACCTTAATATTTTTTGATGTTAGAGAGGGCAGACGACCAGACGGTTCACTTCTAAAAAAACGGGATTTTTCTAAAAAAAAAGGTCAGCTGATGAAAAGTGACTTCATATTTGAAACACTTGCATTCAGTACTTATTTTATGATTCCCACCCAGGACAAATAATTTTGTGATCAGCATAATCATTTGTTCTGTGTCTAATTGATCTATCATATGTATGTATTTAGAAATATATAAGTATGTTTATCAGCAGTCTGGTTCAAGTTCTGGCAGTCTGATGACAGCCATGTGAGAGATGTGTGAAGTTATTAAAAATAACAAATTATTTTTAAAAGACATTTCATTATTCATATTGTATCAAATTAATCAGTTACTTATTTACATGCTTACAGGATGTTGATGATGGAAAAACTAAATTAAGAAAATGGCTGAACACCAACTTTAGAATAGAAATGACTGACGGAAGAGTACTCATTGGAGTCTTTCTATGCACAGATCGCGATGCTAATGTTATATTAGGTAACTCAGTTTTAAAACCAAGTGATAAATCAGCTTTTAAATTTTAATAAAGTATCTTTATTTCACCAAATTGCACTATGTAAAATATTTGAAATTTATCAATAAAAGAAAATGTACTGAAAATTTTTCTCAATAATTTCCAGGTGCTTGTTCAGAATATCTTAAAGGCAGTGAAATGGATTCTGAAGAACCAAGAGTACTTGGATTGGTCATGGTGCCAGGCCGCCACATTGTCTCCATCCAAATAGATGATACTACGCCTCCCCAAAAATACTATTATGATGAGTAGTTGTTTTCCTTCTAAATTAGTCAGTTTTATTGTAAAAATAATAATTTCATATAGTTGATATTCATATTTCTATAGCAAACAAGTAAAAATTAAATTCATTTAACATAAATACACTAGCAATTATTTATATATATTATATTTAATTAATGCTATCATTACTTCTTGATAAGGATAAAGGTTGTCATTAATTACATTCATAAGAAAACAATACACAGAGAAGCTATGCTATGTACTGTATTTGCCTACACAACTTATTTGTCTAGATGAAGAAAACACAGTTGATTAAGAATATATATTTAAAATCTTTGTTTTTCTTCATAAAATCCTTTTCCTAGTGTAAGTGTAGATTTTAAAACAATTTACATTTTTGTGAGTTTTCAGGGCAATGTCTATAATTTGGTTTTATACACACTTCTATCAAACAACCTATAGATGCATACTCTAATACACAATTTGATGTTGATTTGACTATATTTTTATTAATAATTAATAGTTTTTATGGTGCTATCCCCAAACGGTGCCAACGGAACCTTAAAAGATTGAACCGATAACAACAAATAATAAAAGTCTGTTAAGCGCTAGTCTTACTCGTACACAGGATATACCATAGAGATATAAGAGTGAACAAGAGCCCCAATCTTGCAATATAGATAACGAAAGAAATGGATAATAGATATTTCCCTCTATCTTTTTCTAGTCAAGCTCTGTTGTTGGCTGCGGAAATTTCTAATCTCCCGCCTGTTCTACGATCAAAACCATGTTTCACTTCATGATAGCCAATCGCAGCTAAGCTAAACAGAGAGAAAGAATTATCGGGTCTCTCGTTGCCTGTATTGCTTTCACCTACAAGCAGTTGTACCCCATGATCTCTCTATGCTTATATCTCTATAGGATAAACAGAACACGGTACGGAGCTTACAAGTCCGACTAGCACTTGACCAATTTTTTAATACTTGATATTTTATTGATTTTTCTATAATTTCAAAATAAAAAACAATTCTTCACACATGCTGCATTTCCGGATGCTTGTGGGGACCTTTCCACCGGAAACGATCAAGGTCGGGTTAATTTAATTAAAACTTCTGTAAAAAAATACATTTTTTTTGTTTTTTTTTATGGAAAAAAAATATTCAAACATGAGAGACCTATTTCGAACAGCGCCTGGGAATTTCGACCCAGGAGTAGGTTTAGTACTTCTTGCGACGCGTCAGCATTTATCTTTTGTTTTTAGTCAAACGAATAATAAGTAAAATATTTTATACTGCATCACATACTAATAATATTGCAATTTGTTTATAATCATACGTATAGTTTTAAGGTGTAAGTTCTAACAAGAACTGAGTAAATTTTGTACAGAAATTATAAAGTCATGTCTGGAAGACGTCGTCGTTCGAACATAGGTCGTAGTACTTACAGTGAATGCCAGAAGAGCACGTTCAGCAAGAGATGAAGAATCGATGCTTCGATTCCTTACAAGGACGATCGTATAGTATCAATAGGTACCATGTCAGTAGTGTGTGAACATTGCTTGGCATTGAAATTCAAGGACGATAGATTTAAAGATGATTTTTATCTATTTTTCGTATCAGTTTTGTTGCTACCACAATATGCCGCGGCGAAGCGTCGCAGGGTACGGCTCGGGCACGCCGTTATTGCGGCGGTAAGACCCATTATAGAGGATAGCCTCGAGAGGGCATCACGGGACCCTCTCATACCGGCTGACGCAGGTGATCACTGGGAAGGGTTGCTTCGGGGATCACCTGCGTCTGACCACAAGGTACATTGAATTTCCTATGTGGTGGTAAATGAGGTGGTCCACCTTGAGAGTTCTGTTAAAATAAGTATGTTAGTTTAGGTCATAGGGTTAGGGTTTTCAAAATTATTTTGTTTTTTGTTCTTCTTTTAAGCATATTTTTTAACTATTTGGTGTTATGTCGAAATTACATGTAAAACTAAAGTTCTTTTATCGGATCGCCAGTGACCCGTGCAGACGCGTAATTTTGACGCTACCCTTAACCTTTGATACGCCTTATTGCTTAAAGTGCTTAGGTAAAGCACTGTACAGTAAAGTGGCATATCGAAGGATCTATAGTAACCATCCACAACGATACTAAATCTCTACTCTGATAATAAAAACCTGAGGAGACTGTCTATGGAATGTTATGTGTTATGTTAGTGTTGCTATGTTAGTTGTATGTTAGTGTGCTAAGTGGGTACGGAGTCCTCGCTAAGCTCGAAAAACTAATTATGCCTTGCTTGGCGCTCTCGAATAGTTGATATTAGGTAATTAAAAAAAAAACTTCGGAACAACTGTCAGTATTTCTTCTTTAAAGTTTTTTACAAAAATTATTATAGGACAAATAATTATCTAATGTTTACTCTACTGCCGCCGTGCTGAATCGCTTCGCTGGCAAGATTGAGTTCTTGGTGTAGAATGTAGTGTGAACACTACCACGCGCAAAGGGGCACCTTTGCAGGGTTAAGAGTATCTAACTGACTACGAGAATCAGAGAACACAGACGAGGCAATCGCGGAGAACTGCAACTGCCAATAACTACACCATGGGTGCTTAGTCAAAATAATAGTGATCAAGTAGGAAATAATTAAACAATCAATAGAACTTAAATATTATATTGGAAATAGAATTAAATATAAGTTACATGTTACGATATCTAATTTACGGTCTACTCTCATTTCGACGAAGTAAACTACACAAACACTCTCAGGAGTCTCAGGATTTCCTGGATCACGAAGTAATTTCGTGACGTTATTATGTGTTGTACTTATCAGACAACAGACTTATTTGTTACACACACACACAGACTTGTTTAGAATTTATAATCGATAAATCCTGTGGGACGAATTAGCCTAAACTTTTTTAGGTGTAAAATATTATTTATCGTTTATGTGTGCGTTTAGGCGACAACGGAATTCTTCTGATTTACCATTGTCGCACTTATAATATTTATGCACTGTTCTGTGTTTTACATTAGCACTACCAGAACTTTAAAACTCTATTGTTAGTTAAGAGTGTATATTCAGGCTTTCAACCATGTCTTTCAAAATGTCCGGTTCAAAGTAAATATTTTTAGACTCATTTGCAAATGGATTGTATTCGTCTACTTGGTGAACAAACTGCACAATAGCAGTAAGTTCCCTATTAAGTTCTTCAATTGACTTTTCTGGTTCTGTAAATATTACATTTAAAAAGCTTTTATCTAAGATTCTATTTAAACAAATATATGGTTGCAGCAATCTGTTTTCTCTGCTAATAATACAATAAAAATGTACACTTAAATTTCTGATATCTTCATCTTCATCTTGTAAAAGCAAAACAGCACATTTTATTGAAATAACTTTCAGTGAGTCTAGCAACTCGTTGAAGTTATAAGAAAGTTCATTGTTAGCAATTGCAGCAGTATATCTCATTACGATATCAGAAGTTTCAAAATCACTAAAGTCATGGATAATTTTTAGTAAAATATGCTTATCTTCATTACTAGCGCAGTCAACATGCCTTGCTACTAACGGTACGATATATCTCAGATTATATGTCTGTGGCTTCAAGTTTTTCAAAAGCTGTGCCGTATCTATACAATGACGCAAGCATGTTCTTCTAGAGATTTCATAAAGTATTCTCCAAATAATACTGCAGTTGTACTTTTTTTCAAACGCAATAAGATTACTTGCTATTTGTAGTAGAACTTCAGTGGGAATAATCATATCTTTTTCAATTCTTGATAATAGGAACCCAAGAAATCTTGTAACACAGTCATCATAATTGCACTGTGCTAACAACAAATTTAATAAGTTCGGTATGTCACTCCAGGGGCATTTGTCTATAAATTTCCGGAAACGATTCTCTGCCCATGTATGAATGCCAGGACCCGTGTTACTATTCCACTCCAATAATGTATTTTCTATAACTGTCTTACTGATTTCAATGGCGAAAACATCTTCATACAGAGTCTTACACAGATATGAATGTTGACTAGTACCAAGTATCCTCTTAAATGTCTCTCTCAAGTTTCTTACATCACAGGCGTAATAATTGTGGCATAATTTTAACAACAACAACATGCCATGAAGTAGATTTTCTGTCACATTTTTTGGTTTTAATAGAAAATCACTTATGTACTGAAATTCATAAATGTTAAAAATTGTTTTAGCAGTCAGGCGTCTTACAGTGTATATAGGACTACCTAAAAATACTACTAGATGATAGAAAAGGTCCACTATCTCTGTATCAGATTCCGTAACAGGTAGTGAAAAGTGGTATCGCTTTGCGCTATTTGCCAATAAATTTAATATTGGCACTAAATTGGAATGAGTCTGAAGTAGATTTTCTCCTCCACTTTGTTTCAACTGCTTAATAATATACTTCCATAATTCTGGTAAGTGGGTAAGCATTTCGTCACAAGCAACAGTTGCTATAGTTTCATCGTCTGTCCCAGATGCTTTTTTTTGACCAATTAATCTTGGAATAAGAGCTCCGTAGAGCTGAAGCGCTGCATTTCTGAAAGAAATTTAAAAAATATTGAAATGTGAATGTAATGTATCTAATCAAATTTCTAATTTAGACTTCCAAGATTCTATTATTAAACGTCATGTATTGGTCCTGGAGGGTTACACAAATGATGGAGTCTATATCATGGATTCTCATACAATGACCACTATCAGTTTTTCATTATGCACATCATTTCTTAATAACGTAACATCACCAACAATTTTGTCTGTTCAACGTTAATTCAGGAACTAGAAAATTTCATGAGTTGCTGTCCGACTTGTTCGCAAAGTTAACGCAAACTTTAGCTAGTCAAGCATAATTACCTGATTTGCCAATGTGAACTTGTAAGATTTCCAAAAGCAAGTTCCGCTAATTCTGCTGAATAATACATGACATCCGTAGCTAAACTGCTGTCGGTTACTATTCTCGTCATGAAATGGATGTAGATGGCAGCAGGCAAGTCCAATTGAGTTTCTACATTTTTATCTGTGCTGCTATTACTTTTCTTTATCTGCGCTGCTCCAGGATGCTTACATTTTTGTAAAAGAGTCTTAATAAAATAATGGAACAGCGGCTGAAATAACAGTAATAATTAAGCAATTGTTTAATGAAAACAAAATTGAAACATAAACAATGTACTATTATACTTTTCCTTTCTTCATGTCATTTGACACTATCCTGTGAAGCATAATAGATAGACCAGCTCCTCTTCTTGTAACAGAAGACATTTTACTAGTCTCTGATATTAAGTCGTTGAGCTTACATGTTAGTAAGGTATATGGCAATTTTGTAACATCACCTGACGAAGGGTTACTATCTCCAATTTTTTTCTCTGGTAATGATGTTAAATAGTTCATTCCTTTTCCTAAAATAATCGATATATTTACATATGTATAATTACTAATAATTTCAAAGTTTATTAGTTCACGGTTAAGTGTAGGTCTATACTGAGCAGACTTGAATCAACTTAGTCATCGTCGTAAAGAAAACAATAGTATTATGTATAATATACCTACAAATGTAAAACAATATATGTGTTACCGCTAATATGCGTAAACCAGTTAGAGTGCAGATTGGCATGGGCCTGTTTAAGTGGAAAAAAATGATTCAGTTCTTACATTAACTAGATGATCTGCAGACTAACGATAAACATACGGTTAAGTTTGGGTTAGGTTAGGACAGTGACCATTTAAGCGCGAAGGCGAGCGATCGGGTCACGCAGCCGCCGAGCACTTGATCCCCTCTATTGTTGGTGAATCATTTGGGCTAGATGAGGTGATTAGTATGATGTTGAGGTCAAAAGTTTAAGGTAAAACTTTTTACTAACCCGCTGACCCCACAAATGGCATGGATAAAGGCGCGAGTGCACGGTAATCGGGAAAACAAGAAGTGTTGCGTTCACTGTCTTTGGCGATTTAACTGTGTAAAAATTGTTAATATGCAGATATCTGCTTCTTTAAGTAAAATTTTACACTAACGGATCATACCGGGTAATTTACAGATAACCTAGTTAATGCGCATATTGGCGTATATCGTATTCTAACGGTAACATTTACATATAATAAATTAAAAGTTATAGCTCAGATGAATGTAGTATAAAGGACTGCGTCCTGCAGCGTCGGTCAAGCACCAGACTGCCCGACGATACTGACATATGGTGATAAATATGGGGTGATTAGCATGAGGTGAATGTCCTGTGTTTAGATGCGAGGAGGCTATGGGACGCTTCTCTCGTTGAAAAGGCTGTATAATTTGTCAAGATTTTAATGACATACCTAACGCAGTTCCAGCAGCTTCGATCGCTCCTTTATGTCGAGACGTTTCCAAAACACGTGTAATTATGTTTAAGCATCTCTGGCACATAATGGCATCATCCACGTTATAACGTATCAATATTGCTGCTAAATCACAAGAAGCCTACAATACATAAATTTTAAAAGATAATACTATGAAAATGCGAAAACCTGAAAGCCGCAATGGACAACAAACAATGGACGCAAATTTTAATGTCTGAGTAACTTTCAACAAATTTCATTTTCTTATTAAAGAGTACTTAAAGAATAACTGGACAGCGATTTGTAGTTATTTTTTGCTATCGAATGGCGACATTAATTTCGAAGTTATACGGGCTTGGTTAATATATTACAATCAACGTCCTTGTGGTGAGGGATTAAGAATACGGAGTGTCACCACCCCAATTCATCCCGTGGGTGTCGTAAGAGCTGACTAAGGGAGCAAACTACACAGAACATCAGCACTGCAAAGAAAAGTAAAACTTTAAACAAACCCTGTACCAACCCATCTGGTTTAGCCAGCGTGATATAGTAGGCCAAAACCTCCTTTCTAAGGAGAGGCCTATGTCCAGCAGTGGTCTATTTAAGGCTGTCGATAAATATTATATACATTATGTTACATGTAAGGTATATTATATTATAATGTGTAAGTACATTACTACAGGTATGTTTAGGTACATCTTCTGGACATAAATGTGCCATTTGTAGCTTTATACATGTAAGTTTAAACATAAAAGTCCAACTGACATCTCCGTTTCTTAAACAAGTTTAACAAATAGATATTAAGAACAAAACTTACCTTCACATTTAACCACAGACAGTTTAATACAATTTGTTGTAACCCTGATATTTTTGTGTGATCATCTTTGTCAACAAAACTATAGTTTGAGGCAAGTATAATATTCTGTATCATATTATTCATCTCTGAGAAATCAGAGCTTTTTTCTTCTTCCCACACAAATTGATTTGATACATTCTCTAAAACTTGTAGTACAGAAGACATTTTATCGTGGTCAAATGATGTTAGAGTGTAAGAATTGGTAATGCATTCTTCTAACACTACCAATAAAATACTCATATATGAATGCAGTTGTTGTCCTCTTTCAATGGAATCCATAACATTTGTTTTCTCTGCATGCTGCTTTATTAATTCATTACATGCAAAGTCTAATATCTCTTCTGTACTTTTGTATTTAATTGTAATGTTGTCTTTCTTATTTATTAATAAATTAATAATTAATTTAAACATGCTCTGACCACAACTGATTTCATAAAAAAATTTGCTTTGAATACATTTCTGGGCATTTTCCATTATTTCTTTAAGAATATCATTATGGAGCTCTTTCGTAAAGTAACCCAGAAGTATTTTTATTACATTTTCTCTTACATCCTCAGCTGGATCACTTAATAGACTAATTAGTTTATTTATAAAATCCTCTGTTGACATAAACCAACAATTCTTTTCCTTTAAAAAATCAATTAAACATACATTTTCTTGTTTTACCAAAGCTTTGCTCTTCTTTTTTTTAATAGTTGTAAAACAGTTTAATATAGTATTACAGAGCTTAACACTTGTTACTTTTCTTTGATAATTGCCATTTGCCATACCATTTTTTACAATTAAACCTTGAAGTCTGCCACAAAAGCTTAATAAATTGTCCAAGGCTTCAGTATTCTCTGTTTTTGTAATCAGATTTATAGACATGGAATGTAATTGAGTTAAAAAAGAATTCAAACTGTTAAACATACTTATGCGTAAGACTGTACTATCTGAATTTAAATTACAACTAAGATATTCTAATATTAGATTGTATTCAGTTGCAGTTGGAATAGATTTTGTTTGTGAAACACAGATAATATCAAATGCTAAAATCCGCACATGGGTGTTATAGTTATTGATTCCAGCAAGCACATAATTGGTAATATTATTAGAAGTTGAGCTCCAGTTCTTATCCAGCACACCAAGTTTGTTAGCTTGCCTCAATATACCCAATTTACTATGTAAAACTTGATCTGAATATTCTACTTTCTCGAGTTCATCTATTAAAACATTTGATATTGTTCTGAATTTCTTCATTGTAGTCAAACACCAGTAGTTGCAGAAATTCTCAATCGCTTTAATGCAACTGCCACTTAGAATTTTTAAAACATGAAGTAAAAAGAATTGACACCAATAATCTTGATTGTTAATTTTCTTAAGCAATGCATAATACATGTCAGCTCCTGCAGACACTAGTCCTGGTTTATATAAACTGTAAACTACACCATCTATCCATTTGTGATTGATTAGCAATAGAATGTCATCAGTATAAGTTTCGATTATATCTGACAGCATTAAATATTTTGCTTTGTTCCAATAAAAACCTTCAATGTCTTTTGAAACTCTGTCATAAGTAGATTTATCTAGCGTTGATATTACAGTCTGAAAAATGGATCTATTCAAATCTCTTACACCAGTTATAGGATTTTCCCAGTTATCGTTAACTAAGGCAAGTAACTTCAAGTTATTCTCATTGTTGAAAATATACTTCTCCAAAAGCCCTCCGCAAACCTTTCTGAAAGATTTTATTATTTTGAAAACCAAAAATGTATATTCCGAGTACTCATAGCCCATAGGCAGAAGCAAATCAAAGATTTCTTTTAAAATTTCGGATATTTTAAATGTTTTGTCATTATCAGTTTTTGTAGTGAATGATGACTGAAACAATCCATATATTAAAGAGACCACTCTTAGTATGTTTGTTGACATGGTTTTTACATGATCACTATTAGGAGATAATTCAATTCCAAATGGCAGCCTTTTCGACCCAGGCATGGACCTGCGTATAAATCTAGAAGGAGAATTTGACTCAGGCCCAACAACATGTAGTAGCTTTTCCATATAGTAATCCTGATCTCTTTGGTCTACTAATGGTATCACAGAGTAAAAACATGTGGCACACAGTAGTTGATCATCTAAATTGCCAAGACATGTTTTTAAGTGATGCCATAACAGATGTACCACTTCCCCCCAGAACTCTTTAGTGAGATTAATTGAATTTGATTTATCCTTCACCAGCACCAGCAATTCCTGTAAATTTAGGAAATATGCACATAGACTTTTTTTCCCTATTAAAAACAGTTTTTTTTTTAAATAATACACATGCATGAAACACTTCATTAAATAAAGGTTTATACTTATTCAATGTTTGTTATTTTTAGTAACTAGTCAGAAATTGTTCAATTATACTTAAAAATGCCAAAAGCATGATACACTCAAAACAGCTAACTAATTACCTGAATATTTTCAACCTTCAAAGTAGCCGTAGGGACTTCAAATTTACTCAATAAATCCATGTTTTACATAACAAGAATCTGAAACACAAGGAAAATATTCTTTGAAACCTGTGCTTTTTAAAATTTAACAAAGAATTCACTATATAGTTACCTAATATGTATTTTGGTCCTCATGCGAACCAAACATTACTGCTTAGGAGTTAAATAATAATTAAAATAAAAAAACAAGTTCATAAATTACTACATTCTATATTTACAACATATATTTTGGCAAACACTAATCTTTTATAGGTTCATATCCTTCTTTTTGCATTTTCTCTTTAAAAACATCATAGTCTCGTTTTCTATCAAAATGTGAAACCCACTGGGTGGGACAAGAGCTTTCAAATACTTTTCTTAATTGCGAACATGCTTTCGGTTGTAAAGAACTATCTTTAACATTTTCTTTGTCTAAACATTCCCAGTAACGATCTCTGGAGTCCCAACAAATTTTTCGCTGCTGTTTATCAGGAAACGACATCTTTCACCTAAAATATAATTATCAGTCTCTATACAGGTTTTTTGGTGGCATGAACCCAAAGTATTAAGGTAACTTACTTTCAAGAGTTGAGAAAATAGTACTTGCAATTTTTCCTAAAGTATGAATGTAAACTGTCTGTCAGTCTGTATTTTCAATATTCTGGAATTAACCTCGAATAATTTAACTTAGCGCAGAATTGCTGACAGATTCCTACTTCAAAATTTCAAAATGACAGATGACCAGTGCTGCCACTTTCGCAAATTCGAATCGATAAGCTTAACAATAAGAAGCAATTTTTTTTTTATGTTAGAGGGGGCAGACTAGCAGACGGGTCACCTGATGGAAAGTGACTATCGCCGCCCATGAACGTCTGCAACTCAAGAGTCACAAACGCGTTGCCGGCCTTTTAGGAAGGAGTACGCTCTTTTCTTGAAGGTCGTATCGGTCCGGAAATACCGCAGACGATAACCCGTTCCACAGGTTGGTTGTGCGGGGCAAAAAGTGTCTCGAAAAGCGCACAGTATTGGAGCGCCAACTATCCAGGTAATGAGGATGAAAATTTTGTCGTGTGGAACGATGGCGGAAATTTGCGGCTGGTTTTAGTCCGAACAATTACTCTGAGCACTCTCCATGACATATGCGATAGAGAATGCAGAGTGAAGCCACATCTCTACGTAACGTTAAGGGATCGAGCCGATCGGAGATGTTTGGGCTATCGACGATTCGAGTCGCTCTTCGTTGGATGCGGTCCAGAGGGAGAAGCTGGTACTGAGGGAGAACAGTATTCCATATGCGGCCGGACTGTTCAGTACACCGAGCTTCTTCGAGGCCAATTTGACCTTACCCTCTAAGTGACCCCGAAACTGGACTTCGCTCGATATGCTCGATGCCTAGGATTCCGATGCTGGCTGAGGCAGTTAGGGTGATGCTCTCAAACTGAGGTGATACGACAAATGGTATGTTTTTTGCGGTGAACGCACAGACCTGTGTCTTTTTTGGGTTAAACTGGACTAGATTTAGTCGGCCCCAATCTGAAACCTCCGCTAAGGAAGTTTCAATTTCAGACACAAGTTTGTTTCGACTCTCGATGACGTTTTCCCGAGAAATGTTGGAGCCGCCGGTATAAAGGGCATCTCCTGTGCTATAATCTGCATAGCAATTGATGCCACTAGTTTGCAACATGTCATTGATATGCAGAAGAAACAGTGTGGGTGATAGCACACAGCCTTGTGGGACACCAGCACCAGTCGGAGCATGCACCGTCGACAACGACCTTAATGCTTGTGTCCGCAAGGAAGCTAGTGACCCAATTACACAATTTCTCGGGAAGAACAAAGGAAGGGAGCTTCGAGAGAAGCGCTTTATGCCAGACCCGATCAAAGGCCTTCGCTATGTCCAAACCAATCGCACAGGCCTCTCCTTTGGTCTCGATCGCCTGTACCCACCGGTGTGTCAGAAAGACGAGAAGATCACCAGCTGAGCGACCCCGGCGGAAACCATATTGTCGGTCATTGAGTAGCTGGCGATCATCCAAGTACCGGAGGAGCTAGGTGTTGATTATGGATTCCATAATCTTAGAGAACAAAGGAGTTATGGCTATAGGCCTGTAGTTGGACGGGTCAGAGCGGTCACCTTTTTTAGGGATCGGGTGCACAAACGCTACCTTCCAGGAGTTCGGGTCGACGCCTTGGGAGTAGGAGAGACGAAAACGGCGCGTTATAACCGGTGCCAACTCCGGAGCACACGTCTTTCATTCCATCGGGCCCACACGACTTATGAATGTCGAGGGAACAGAGTGCTTTACGCACTGATTTTTGTGTGAACCGGATATCCGGCATACAGCTCTGGCACCGCGGTATGGTCGGCGGTACGTTTCCCCCGACATCCAAAGTCGAGTTGGATGCAAAGAATTTGCTTAGGAGATCAGCTTTCTCCTTGGCATCATAGGCCAACGAATTATCTCCTATCTGCAGGGGTGGAAAGGATTGGCTACAGAAATTCCCCTGGACAGCCTTGGCAAGAGACCAGAATGCACGAGTTCCAGAAGGAAGTCTCACTAGTCTCTCACCGATCCGGCTGATGTGCTCTGATTTTGCCCTAGTAATGGCTCTTTATTTAGAGACATAAGTGTACCCTCGCATAGGTTTGCAAAATGCGGACTCGTGGTCACAATACAAGTTAAAGCACAGTACTGTTTCATTTCACACGATCGTAATAGTGGGGTTAATTTAATTTTTTGTTTTGTTTATATACAATAACATTTTAAATAGATAATATGTTTGCACTGACTTCATATTAGGTATAGGTAATTATTTTAGGTGGGTGAGATATTTTCGAGCACATGTTTCTTGAGTTTTCTTTTAAAAATACTAAACGAGTTCGCATATATATGGTGTTTTCAGTATAATACCAACGTCGACCTATTGCAAACTAAACTAATTTTATCTTTATTTACTGTGTGATTAAATCGTGATCTGAATAAACATGCTCCTTGCTTCTCTCTCTTCTAAAGAATCACATTAAATATATCATAAATCTAAGCTGAGGCTAGAAATGTTTTATGAGTGTAATTTATTTGATTCCGTTAACAAAGTTATCATTAAGATGAATTTAATAGTATACTCGTAATAGTAAAAAATATATATTTTGAAGCACAATTTTCACGTTTTTGATCGCCATTCATTTGTGGTAATATTCCGCTGCAGTGTGAAAATAACTATTAGTATACCTATAGAACGCATTGCACTGCTGTAAATCTAGCTCTCATTTTGTCACATTGCTCAGTACATTTTCTTCACTGACACTTTTAATTAGCACCTGACAGTGTTTCTTATGCTACTTTTGATATATTTTTAATTAAAGCTGTTTGAGTTGAAGCGCGTTTATAATCGGACAAACTTATTAAATTATTGTATAGTCCAGCCGCAACAAAACTTCGGTTAAAATTTAGTTCTGATTTTACAAATGTCATTAAATTATTTTCGTAGGAATATGTTAAACATCCAACGTCCACTGTAATGTGATCATATCGTATACTGTGACTGTGACCGAAAGTTGATTCGGTAATCTGCTTAGTAATACTTTACTATTTTCACCTTTACTTTTAGTAGCCAGTTTACAAGAGGTTTAAATAAAAATCTATTTTATTTTATTTATCTTTTATACAGAACACTTTAATTCTAACAATCCTTCTGTTCGTATTAATCTATTCACTCTCTGCAACTGATTTAATGTAAAAAAGTGAATGTGAGTTACACCACATTGAACAATTAAGTCTTTTATCAATCGTTTAACAATTTCTAAGCAAGATGTATTTAATACCTCTTTGTTTTTGACATATTCTAATAAATCAGAAGATACTTTAATGTTACATAACTTTATAAAACCGCTTAGTTGTTTATATGATTCAAAGGGGAACACACCAGGTATAATAGGTACTTTGATATTTAACCTTTCACATTGATCAGCAAAAGCTTTGTAAGTATTTTTTTCAAAAAATGCTTGCGTGAGGATGTAGTCTGCTCCACTTTCAATTTTTTCTTTTAGGTGTACTAATTTTTCTTCAGAACAGCCAGGAAAACCAGCAACCCCAATACAGAAATAACTCCCAGTTTGCTTCTTAATGAACTTGATTAACTGCGAGGTGCTTTCAAACTCGGACGTATTAGAGTCATAATTTTCTGAAAATATATTTACATATATTAACTTAAGTAATTTAACTCGATTTGTAATAGTAAAAAAAACATCTCAGTACATATCACTCAGTCATTATCATAATTATTAAATGTATAGTTATATGTGCATACTTGTAGTACTTGTACTGCAATTATTCAATCTACTACGAGGGCGGGTCAATAAGTCCGTGACTTTTTAAATTTCTGACCTCTTTACTGAAAAAGCAACACTACTCCTGTCAACAGGCATCTGTCAGTTGACTCCTGTCAAAATTTGAACTTGCTGCGGTCAGTTAGTTTGTGTTTGACAGCTATCTTTATCAGACTACCCAGTAATTTGAGGAAAAAATGGAAAAAAGTGAATTTCGTGTGCTTATTAAGTATTATTTTTTGCGAAAAAAAACCATTACCGAGACCAAGGCTAAACTTAATAAATACTATGGGGACTCTGCACCATCGATTTCAATGGTAAAAAAGTGGTTTACTGAATTTCGTTGTGGCCGTACAAGCACTGAAGATGCCGAACGTCCTGGACGCCCAGTTGAGGTCTCTTCACCCGAAACAATCGAAAAAATTCACGATATGGTGTTGGCCGACCGAAGATTGAAAGTGCAAGAGATTGTGGAAGCCGTAGGGATCTCGCATGGCTCAGTGGTTTCAATTTTGAATGATCACTTGGGCATGAGAAAGCTTTCCGCAAGATGGGTGCCGCGATTACTCACAGTCGACCACAAACGCAATCGTGTAACAACTTCACAGGAAGGTTTGGCGTTGTTTAATCGCAATATGGAGGAGTTTTTGCGCCGTTTTGTAACCATCACATCCAAACATGGATCCATCACAACACACCAGAGACCAAACAACAGTCAAAACAGTCTGTTTCTAAGGGTGAATCGGCGCCAAAGAAGGCCAAGGTTTGTCAGCCAATAAAGTTATGGCGACTGTCTTTTGGGATGCACGCGGGATAATCCACATTGACTACCTTCAAAAGGGAAGAACAATCAATGGGGAATATTATGCCAACTTATTGGACCGATTCAATGACGATTTGAAAAAAAACCGACCTCATTTGGCCAAGAAAAAAGTTCTTTTCCACCAAGACAATGCAAGGGTGCACACATGTGCAGTTGCCATGGCAAAAATCCATGAATTGCTCCCTCATCCGCCCTATTCTCCAGATTTGGCTCCGAGTGACTACTTCTTGTTCCCAAACCTGAAGAAATGGCTTGGTGGAAAAAGATTTGACTCCAATGATGAAGTCATGTCGCAAACAAAGGCCTATTTTGAGGACCTCGACAAATCATATTTTTTGGAAGTAATAAAAAAATTGGAGAAGCGTTGGACAAAGTGTATAGAGCTCAAGGGAGACTACCTTGAAAAATAAAATGATTTATTTATCAAAAAATGTGTGTTTTATTCCAAAAGTCACGGACTTATTGACTCGCCCTCGTATGTGTGTAGTATTAGGCGATTTGAGTCCTATTTATCACTTCACCCTGGGCCCGTCCGTATAGCGATATATTTTTTTTGCAAATTTTTTGTATCAAATCACATTTTTTTTGCGCGATTTTTTTCGCCTGTGCGGACGGTCCTACGCGCGTTAAAATATCCCTGTGCGGACTGCCCCTATCCGCACTTGCAGAAAAAAAGTCTATGATTTGATGCAAATTGAGCGCGATACGGTATCATATCGCTGTGCGGCCTTTACTGTGGTGTGCATCTCTCATTTACCAATTTTGTTCGGTGTCGGCGCAACCTTTTCTACAAGGAGTTAGACAATTCGCACACTTTCACAATATTGAGTAATTATATTGACATTTGTAAATAACCATTGTAACTACTTAATATTAAAATTTGTATTGGCAGTCATGTAAAAAGCGGTGTTGAAGTGTAGTTGAGAAATCTTCAGCCTAATCTGGGTTTTACACTAAAGCTAAGATAAATATAACAATGATAGAAAATGTTCTATGGAAGTTTCCAGTCTTGTTTGTTTAAAGATAGGTAAAGTACTTACCTATAATCCGATGCCTACTGAGATAATGTTCAATGTAATACTCTTTACCTCTTTATAACACTAGTAACACAATATTCTGGTTCTATAGAAAGTATTATCTACTCTTTATAATCTTTCTTTGTTTACGTATAGGTAGTATAGGTACCTATTGTAATTTAAACCATTAAATGTGTCTGACTTTACATGACCTTTATGCGCGTTAAACACATACTCATCATTGTTTATTTTTATAACAATCTTTCAGTCTGAATTCTTGAAGTAAATAAAAGTCTAGTGTATGATTGATAAGTCAGCCTGTCATTTTAATTTTTTTATGTAAGTATAATGAAACCGTCATGAACTTACCTCCTAAAATTAAGAACAGATTGTATATCTTATTTCCTTGAAGTACACCAAGTAATTCTTTTAAATAATTTGATTTCATTAGTTCACATGAGATATGCAATATCACATGTTTTCCCTTTTTTCGCCAAGGTTCTTGCTATTCGTAGCGAGTTGACGTTCATATCTGCACATCGGTGAGACCCAGCGTGCCATGTTACAGAAAAAAATACAGGATCCACGTCTAAAGTATCTATTTCTTCTTCCGAAACATCAGGGGTTACCTCAAATGAATAACTAAATTGTCCTTTACCTTTTATCAACTCGGTTACCTTGGTCATTGTTAATGTTCAAAAATTAGGTTGCCGTAACTGTTTCAGTTAGTACCTAACTCTTTGTTTATTTAAGTACCTACTTACAACAAAATAAACAAGTAAAGCTAAAAACTGACAGCACTGAGTGACTTGCTGATGTAGTTTATTTAAGTTGTGTGTTGTACAGCGATAAGGATAAATTTATACGGTACTATAGCTGTAATTTTTTATGCCGTTTGGTAGAAAATATATACTTACGCACACTTAAGAGGCACGTCCCTAAGAAACGAGCGAATAAGTACTACTATTAAAAAAATCAAAGATCTCACTTTATTAAATGACACTATAAAAAATCTCAGTTCCTTAATAGATGAGTCTACATTTTTACCGCGTGAAGCTTAAAAAATAAATCTTTATTTTCGAGAAAAAAATCCTCAACATTGATCAAAATCATCGAAATCAACTTTTACTATTTTGAATATTTTTGCTAATTCGTTGTTCTATTTGAAAATACTTTTTTTAAAGTATGGATGGATGGAGTACATCTACTTCACTAATTCAGCTCAAAAAGCCATAATCTAAGTTTAAACATCGTTCATTTTTAGCGAAAAAAGATACCCGTTCTCCATACATTTTAGCACGTCGAAATTGTCTTTTGTAATGTGCAATAAATTAGAGTATACGTGCGCAAAAACATCAGTGAATAAATATCGCTCAAGAATCAATGTGGAGCAAGAAATGAGAGTAGCAGTGTCAAGTCTTATTCCCCGTTTTGAAAAACTGTGTGGAGATCACCAAGCTCAACCGTCACATTGATTTGACTAAGTGGCTTTTGTATTATTTTTTTTCTAAGTCTCTTGTTGTTTTTTATTTCAATTCTGAATTCATATAAAAAATATAAAAACCCCAGTTTCATATTGTGGATGTTTTAATTTTTGTACCTTTTTTTTGGAAAGGTCTACTAGCAACCGAAATAACTAGTATTCCCGTTAACCCCTCGTTAAGGGCGTCATGACAAAATACTAAACTTGTAACTCCGCCGCGGGCTGAAAAAGATTGGGAACCCCTGGTCTTTCATGTATGTGAATATCTAAGTCGACGTAAAAAGAAATGGAATATTTATGTAAAATTATAGATCCAATCAAACACAGACTACCACCTATAGAAGCACCTGTAGATACATTTTTACGAATAGTTTTATGTAGATAGATAAAGATAAGTAAGCGTCTTCAACAATTAAATAATGAAGCAAGTCGGTCCGCTTTGAATATTAGTCACCTTGGCGTTCACCTTTTTATTATCTTTTGGAATCTGGCATAATCATCTAAATATATATATATATATATGCATATTGTAAAGCGCCTAATAGGTATTTTATTAGCTACCTTATTAACGTAGGGATTAAGTGTCAAATTTATAGGTTTTCATAAAAATAAAACTCATTAAAATTAATTATTGTATTATGACTGCTCTATACTGCTTAACAATCAGCCATATAACTATCACAACCCAAAATGTACAAGTAAAACAAAATGTCTACAAATTGTACACTACAAATTCTTCTGTTGAAGCTGTGTAGCCATAATATATGTTTTTATTATATGGTCAAAATATTGCTGAGTCTACATTCGTTTTTCTACTCCATTCTTGTTTAAGTAAGTAGGTACATTTATAAAATTGTCTAATTAAGTAATTAGTTATATACCTATATGATTGCGACTAACATGAAATTTAATCAATAATGCCAAAGTTTCTATGTATAATACAGTGATAATATTTCTAGTTGTGTAAAAGCCTCCAAACACCTATTCTACAATTGTCTACATTAATAATGACTTTTGAAACTAGTTTCAATGTTACAATTAACTAATTCTTACGTAATGTATGTAAGTTATTGTTACGGTTAGGTAAAGCTTCATAATGACCAGTGTTACACTGACCAATACATGACATTGATGGATATATTTATTGAATACGACGACTGCACTGTTTTCATAAAGTAACTGGAATGGAATCAAAATTGAATTAAGTGTTACCTAAATTTTTACATTATAGAACAAATATGAAAGCAAATGTGTAAAGTAAAAACTTAATGAAGTTTTAATTCTTGTTGTGGATCTATCCAGGATGACCATATTGAAAATATTTTAGGTTTACATGTTTAAGTACCGAGGTTACAACATTATTATTTGATGATAAGTATACCTACCTACTTTAGGTATGTATACCTATGTATTAATCAAAAATTAACAATAGGTGATATTTAATAGGTATACATGGTATTTGTATAATTATAAATTCTTATTTATTTGCCTTTCTTTGATTGCTGGGACTCTTAATCCACAATCAAGGAATTTGATCATTAAAATAAAAAAAATGTAAGTAGGTACCTACAAACCAGACAACATTTAAAAGGTTTTATACAACTAAATTCCTCCAGTTTACTAGTGACTAAAGAACGTCATTAATATTTAATATTTGAACCCCACGAAATGATCATATCCTATTAATACTGAACGTTCTAATGATCTTTGTAAACTTGCACAAGAAACATGGGACAAGATTCCTAAGACGCATTCCACAGAATAATGAAAGTATGTGTTAAGTTAGTTACTACTAAAACAACTACTTTAAAACGTGATGTGACGTTCATTTAACGATACTGTGATATGTCCTAACTTTAAAACTCGCCACAAACACGAATTGCTAACAAAAATAACTTACTGCCTATTATTTATTATTTATAAAAAACAAACTTCGACTTTCGGATGGTATCGTGTGACAATCATTGGTCTGAATTGACACTGAATTCAGTCTTGTATTCGAAGAATAATTAGAGGTAAGTACCTATATTATTTACAAGGAATATTGTTATCAAATTTTAATCTTCAACCGGCACAAATTAAAAACCCTTTTAAGTAAATAATCAATTAATTAACACTAAACATTTAATTGTTTCTTATTTACCTACTTCTTCATTCACTTTCTTATTGCTCTGCTTTATAAGTTTAGACCAACTACAATTTTGAGCGTAGCCATACAGCCCACGTAGAATTTCGACATAGTTGGTATCAATTAGGTACATTTAGATAAAGTATTGCCATAGATTTTACCAAAGCTGGCCACAATAATTAGAAACATGTTTTTAATTCGGTTGCATAGATAATAACGATTAAAAGATTCAAAAGTAAATTCGGTGCGGCGTAATTTGTAGGTACTAGAAGTCGTAAATTAAAAATGAAATCATGCTATAGAGAAATTATTTATAGAAAATCAAACGCAGTTATGTAACAAATTAGCCTATTTAGGTATTGTCGCGTTATTTATCACTAAATTACTGTAACATTTCTTGGAATATTGCCATATTATTAAATTTCGCGTTCCATGATATAATAATATTTATCAGTTCGGGAATGAACGCGATCAACATAATATAAGTCTGTTTTGACCACGTATATCTGTATAACCTGGTCTAAGCAGCAGACAATCCCTACTAACATTATAAATGCGAAAGTAACCTGTCACGGCTAAACCGCTGAACCGATTTTATGAATGTTAGCATGGAGATACTTTGATTCTTAAGGAAGCGGAAGAAAGCATAGCCACGGGCAAAACCTAATAAGTAATATTTCATGATCGCGTTAAATCCCGAACTGATATTTATTAATTAGTAACTTACATAGTGCATATACTAACATTATTACCCATAAATTTACGTGTATAGATACCTTCTACAACAATATCATAATATAATTTGACTAAACATGTACCTATTCGTTAATGTTGTCAAGCGTATTGAATAACAGTCATATTTTATCATCGATGAGCTTAATCTATAGCTAGAGCACAGGGAATGTAAGGTTATCCCATAAACTTTAGCATAGTATGTACTGAGTTAGTACGTTGTTATATGCTTGCTTAGTTTATGTATTAACCATTCACAACAAAGTTTATATACGAAAACCAAAATCATTAGAACATGTCTAGTGTTTTTGAATGAAGTCTTAACCGTCATAGTTTTGTGGCACGTCATTACTTCCACAAACATATAGTAGTTTTACATCATAAATGTGTGCTGTTCAGTATAGGAAAACACACCGCCCGGTGTGTGTTCAAAAAAAATATAATTATTACGTATTTCGTTAAAAGTAATCTTTAGAAATTAACAATTAAAAAAAAATCACATCATCAATTGGAGATTTGATTGAAATGGTTGATTGATACTAGGAAAATGATCGCATAGAATGTAACAGGAATGAGAATGTAGCAGATAATTGAAAAAATATTTTATGGGTCTATTCTACTATAAGCAAAAACTATTAATCAATTAAATTAGTTAAAGAGGCATGAAAGATCTTTTATATACCTCATAACACGTTCATTCATTTCGGTGTTAAGTAGCAGTGAGTTTAAATAACAAAATTTAGATGTATATGTGTGTATAAACCACCCTAACCATAATGCTGAAACGATTTGAAGATGAATATCCACATATAGTTACAATAATTCGACCGTCACTTTAAAAAGCCTCTAAATGACGATATACTTGTTCATTATATTCTTTTCAGCACATACAAACGGACACCTTCATATTAAGTACGTTAAAACATCCAATACAATAAAACTCAGTACAATAAGTCAATTATACCGTTCGCGATCACGTACTTCGTACTGAAGTTCGGCCAAAAATATAATGTGTAAACATTAAACTTTCTATAAAGTATAAAACAAACTAACTCAATAACTAACTAACTGTTTATCGTTACCGTTTAATTAAAGACACAAAAATCGAAAAGCATAGAAGGCAAGTCTTTCACGGTTCAAGAACCTACTATATTTTTATTTAGGGTTGAATCAACTGTGTCAATCAGTAAGTTACTGTCCCATATTCAATCTATACAAATAAATAAAATAGGAGTGTCTGTTTGTAATATTAAAATAACCGCTTTTTACTAAATGCATATGTATGTTTACACGGTACATATGCCAAAATAACATTTTTTACAATTTTTGTCTGTCTGTCTGTTTGTTCCGGGTAATCTCTGGAACGGGTGGACCGATTTCGACGGGACTTTCACTGGCTGATGACATAAGGAGTCACTTAGGCTACTTTTTTTAGACTAGCTTCGCCCCGCGGCGTTGCCCGCGGTAATAACAACAAACGCGGGTAACACCGCGGGTCTCAGCTAGTTATCAATAAATGGATGACAGTATTTAGAAAGATGTAAATGCCCGTTCACCTAGAAGAATATGGTTGTTTGTATGTTATATGCGTTAAGTCTGCTGGATGAGCGTCTGTTAGAGGCCTTATTTTAAAAACATATTTCTTCTTCATATTGACTCCATTTGTTCGGTAAGCTCCAAAATGGGGCTTTCGCTTAGGGGCAGCATACCTGCAGTCGGTGGAAGGCTGTGCCCTTGCCAGTTGGACTGAAAACAAATATTAGAACTTAACCGACTGGAAAAGCACTGTTAAATTTGAGACAGCCGTATGTATCAGGAGGATATAGTAGATAACATTCGAGGTAAATCTGGACCTGCTAAGTGCAGATTTTTAAGAAACCTATTAAAGTATCTCTCATCCAGTTCTAATACTACAAACGTATACACACTAAAACATATTTTGCCATGCAACCCACCTAGGACTAGTTAACAACTTATACAACAAATATTCGATTTAGAAACCATTGGGATTGGTTTTTAGCTTTAAATGTACCTAAGGCAAGAACGTGCCCATGCTCTTTCGTCTATAGCTCTATCTTACAAACTTTAAAACCCAGTATTGGAGGTTAGGCACCTTACGTTTTAGAGATTTTGTTTGACTTATTTTCTGACTATAAACCAGGCTACATCTGTGTATACCTAGATTACCTAGAGTCGACTTTTTGTTCAGCTTCCCAGCGATAATGGTCGAGGAACTTTTTCTAAATGAATTAGTTATATTGAAAAAGGGGTTTGTAAGTTATTTGATGAGAAACTTTCCGTCACTGTCAATCGGCTTCACCTAAGGAATGAGACAATAAGGTGACTACAGTCAAGTGTCTACATTTTTCACTTTTGTGATGACGAGTGCGTACTGCTTTAGAATTGAGTTCAAATCTACTTAGAAAATATAGTTTTTGTAATGAACGCAGTTCAGTGATGTAGATAAAAACTATGTGCGAGTTTGTGCGGTTTTAACTCGAAACTCTTTACTGGTGAAACGAAACGCTCCGTTTAATTTCATTGAAAATATATACCTACTGATGTTCATTATTGTTAAATCAAATGAAATCTATGACATGTATTTTCTGTTTAAATAAGACGTTTGGTTATCGTTATAACAGAAGTGAAAACAAGACATTGATTCAAGTGTCCCGAAGGAAAAATATAACATTGTTTTGGAGGACTTAATGTTCCTGTGTTTAAGAATACGGAATGTCACCACCCCTATTCATCCCGGGGGTGTCGTAAGAGCCGACTTAGGGAGCATACTACGCAGGATAACAGCACTGCATAGAGAAGGAAAACTAGAAACAAACCCTATACCAACCCGTCTGGCCAGCGTGGTATAGTAGGCCATAACCTCCTTTCTAAGGAGAGGCCTATGTCCAGCAGTGGACTGTTATAGGCTGTGGATGTGGATGTGATGTGGATAACGTTCCTGTTCCTATAAAACCCTATCCAATATACGCAGAACAATGTACATAGTTTAATACTTTAAATATAACAGTTAACCTACATTCATTATGTAGCCTGTTGGTACGCCACACACGTAGTTACCAAAAGAAATCAAATATATTATGCATCTATTGCAAACGTGCACTGTAGCCGTGTCATCTACAAGAAAGCTATTTGCCAAAAACAATAAGGTGAAAAAATAAAACTATCATTGTCAATTTACAATAACTTGTATTTTAAATAAAACTTGCCTCTAATAAAGCTATCACATCTTACATAAATTACTTTAATAGTAGCAAATAATAACAAAAACTATACAGACTTTCACAAAGAAAAAGTACAGACTCATACTTGTAACTTTTAATATTTATAATAAATAGATACTTAAAACTAATAGAATATACTATGTAGAAAACCAACGAATAAATATGTAGGAACATTCTTATGTGATGTTGCAAAACGTGACAGTAAATGGCAAAATGCAAATCATTATTAAGTATACAAACAAGTTCTATAAAATTAATACAATACTTACCAGTACGTACGAGTACTTGGCAAGTGATAGAATAAAAATGGAATAGCAACTTTATTACTTATACAATATTATTTTTATTTATTTTATTATAATATGCAACGAACAAAAGGAATGAATAGGTACTTTGTAAAAGGCCTAGTTGAATAGAGATATTTAATTTTATTTAGCAAATATGGAGTGCATCCTTACCACTATATGGTATGACTGTTATTATTAGAGTATATGATTATTTTCTCACTGTTTATAATATTTCGTGTGAAGGAACTCAGGGGCAGGGCATTCTATCGATATAGTGAATTACTGACCTATCGGTGTAATATACATATTTTAAAGCACTAGTTATTGTCATGCACTCTAAATACAGGTACGTAAATTCATGTTCTATGAAATTACAAATTCTCTACATTTTAATAACATACTCGCAGTACGATGCTTATACATAGCATAATGAGACCATTCTTTCGTCTAGCTTAACGGGCATGAGCGTGGACCAGGGGCGTGGCTCCCGCTCGCGCATTCGTCCACACTAACAAATCTACAAGTCTAAGATGTACGTGGTTCTACTTAATTGATCTGTTGGAATACCTGGAAACAAGGCTGCGGCGGGAACAGGCCCGCGTTCCACTGGCCCGGCCACAGCGGCGCGTCTACCGCAGCGTGGCCGCTCGTCTCGACCTCGCCCTCGCGTGCCTCCCGCCGCCCCGCCAGCTCCGATATCTGGCACGCAGACTGCAGGCTCGACGGCAGGTTCGACCAGTTCTCGTTACCTAATCTATCCTTATTCATTATACTGATCTCCATCGAGCCCTGATATGCAAACTTCGAGACGTCCTCTTGACTTTCCTCTAATTTATTTTTTGGACTTCTGTTAGGTCCTTCTACTATCGCTTGGAAAGCGAGTAGATCGCGATTTTCGGTTTCGGTCAGCGGTAAGGGAGGCAGAATTTGTTGTTGTTGAGCTATCTTGTAACTCTGCTGTCGTAACATTTGCCGTCTACTGAGGCCCACTTGAAGAGTGTGCATGGTCAATTCGTGAGCGGGAATCGTCGGGGGAGTCATCTGTTTCTGTAGTAACTGCCGTTTTTGTTGAAACAATCTGTGTTGCATTAGCTGCTGCTGTAGCGGTGGTTTGCTAATCTGTGAAACGGAAGACCCGTGTGGCAATTCTGTTTGTTCCTGTATTTGAGACACCATTTTAGGACTCGCGGGCATCGGCGGCGAGGTACTCGAGTAACTAAACGATTCCGGCAGGCTAATACGTTTTGGTGTAGGATTTTTAGTATCTAAGAAATGAGGACTGAAACTTGCGGCGAACTGATTATGCTGAATCTGTCTCTGTGTCATCTCTTCTGCCGGTATGGTCGATTGGTACTGTGTCTTGAGTTTTTGGGCTTCTTTTTGTACCAAATGAAGTTCTAGCACGCCTTTAGCTTTACAGTTTTCGTTTAAACGCTGGCTGTTGAAAGCTAAACTATTCTTTTGTGAGTCGGTAGACTGTGCAGCTTGTTGTGCAACTAGCCCGTCACTCGCTCGACGACCTTCCCGAAAGTCAACAGGACTCCGCGTAATCGCTCGGGTGCAGTTTTTATTGGCAGATTGATAGTTCAAAGGATTGTGTCTCGAGATAAACCCCGCACCAGGGGTTTTATTGTTATAGGAAGATATGTACACACATGGATGCATTGGGCTCGTATTTATGAGTGAGCTATTCTCATATGATAATTTATCTTCATTAGACGTACAACTTGGTAGACTGCTTGTTAATTCACTGGAACAATCCGATAGTTGATAGTCTAAACTTTCAAATGTGGAAAAATTACTTTGTGATGAATCACAACTAAGATTCTGGCTAAGACTTTTATTATTAAAAAAAGTAACAACTCCGCTACTAGAACTGGAACTGGCGTATGAACTTAATCGGTTTTGCATGCCACTTGGTACACTCACGACGTCTTCCATATCGGTCTCGCAACCTTCGTCTGTCGACGATGAATATTGTTGTTGAAATTTTGTCGCTTCCGTTGTGCCACCTTGAAGATTTTGAGAATACGTTTGAGTTGTGGTATATCTATTTAGCGAAAATTTACTATCTGGTCTATATAAAGTACTTGGCAATAATTCACTCGTAGCTGTGGAAGTGGAAAAGTTTGAGTCCCCAGAGCTCGACATCGGTGGCACACCACAGTTTTGTAAATATGAATAAGAAGGAAGATGATGATTCATGTAGTCTTTAAAAGGCGGTGTACTAGTTTGAAGACGGTTGAGATCTTGTTGTTGCGCTTGTGACACAAGTCTAGTGGATTCCAGCGGCTTTGGTTGTTCTAAAACACTAGTTAATTTCGAGTCCGTAAGTTGCGGTGGAATTGGACTAGTACTCAAATTGACAGTCCCTTTTAACGGCAAAGGAGACTGCTGCAAAGTATTCATAAGTTTTGCTGCTTCTGAACACATGGTAAAAGTGGTAGAATTAGGTAATTTCACATTTTCTACATTGAAATTTGTTGCCGAAGCTGAATTTTGGAGAAAGTTTGCTATAGCATTGTGATCTGACGCCGAAGAACTTCTACCACCATCAATCGCACACTTGGAATCAAAGCTGGAAGATGTTAGTAATCTGGTACCATCGATAGTATTTTTGCTCGTTTCTGGACCAACAGTTGTAGACTGTTGCAACAGACGTCGACAGTCCTCGCTAGATTGTTTTAGTATGTTTTGTTGCTGTTCATATGTCGAAGTAAGGAGTCTGTGAGTAGGGACAGAAGCTTCGCTCACTTTGGCTCCTAACCTTTGATTAGACTGAGAGACATCAATATTTCTTAAAGATAGCAGCCTAGTGGACTCGGATTCATGGCTTCTGCTGGAGAGAACATCAAGGTTGCCTACTAGAAAGCTCCGATGCGTATCCGAAGGGTCGGAGTTTCGCTGGAGCAGTCGCTGTTCAGTCATGTTGACACCTGCGAGTGACAGAAGTCGCTGTGTTTCGGCAGACGACGCGTCGGCCGGAGCAGTTGATATTGTCGGGGTGACTCTACTGTAGTCCCGCGATTGAATATCACCAGCATGAAGTAATCTGAAACATTATAAAGGATTGTATTATTAAGAATAATGGTTGTGTATTTTTCATTGACGTCAGACGTGCGTCAAACAAACGGAAAGAGATTTCAACGATTTGGAGATAAATAAGACGTTGTTAGAGGACAACATAGGACACTTTTCAGATAAGAATAATCATCGTGAAAAGCTGTTTTTCATGCAGATTTCACCACGAAGGTACTTTTATTTAAATCAATACATATAATAGTGTCAAAGTAGTTATAACTAACCTATTATGATGTTCCCGTCTTGCATCATGAGCTTCTTTTACTAGTGCTTGATCGGCTACAGACGAAGGACGACGCGAAGGTCTGGTGCGAGCTTCAGCCACACTAACTCCGCTTGCCGCCCGAGCTCGCAATCTTTCAAGAAGAAGAAGGTATATCGCTGCATGATGGTCGTAGCTGTTAGACCGAAGACTCTGTAAATTAAGAGAATAACAATACTAAGTATTGTATTGCACATAACATAAACTGCCCGTTTTCAGTTTTGACAACAGACTATGCAAATAAGCATACGGTCCAGTCTATGAGATTAAACTGGGCCTATTGTTTAAGATTTAAGAAAAATTATATTGATGTGAACGATCGGAGGGTCAGACCGGTTGTTGGCGTGACCGCCAAGCTATGTCATAGGATATGTAACATGTAATGCGGTTTGGCGACGCGTCGCCATGCTCGATGACTCTGCTAGAAGTCCTGTGATGGCTCATTTTTTTAAATTGTTATTTTATTTGCACTTAATGATCATTTCGATGCGATGTGTTAGTCTTACGGATATGCATTCATATCATACAATTATATATCTGCATATATAATTGTATGATATGTATGTAAAGAAATAAACATAGTTGCAACAAGGACTATGACAAATAGTTGACATCGTGTTATACATTATGTTTATAAAGAATGTTGAGATAAGTAAGTACAATTAAGTAAATCAGTCACGCTTTGTGCGTTCTTTACCTCCAGGGTAATAAACAGGTAAGGACATGTGGGCTAAGTAATCTTAAAATGAATTTTCAACATCAAAAAGTACTATTCAATAAATATCAAGTTTTATTGGTTTAGGTACGAAAACTCTAGATAAAATAAAAGAATCAGTTTTCTACCTCTTTCGTTTTAACAGGGTCAATCCCTAAGCTCTGCATCAGTCTCAGCACTTGTTCATTAGGCTCGTGATGAGAAGGTACATGTGCAGGACTCCTCGCGGGGTCAGCGCTCACAGTCGTTAGGGCATACGGTTCAGATGCCATCCACCTGTGTTTTTTTATCTGTTCTATGGTGTACCTCTTCATTGGCTCCAGGACTAACATCTTGCGAATCAACGACTCACAATCTGAAAAAAAAAACATTGCTTAATTTCTACCTATCTATGTTTGTTAATTTTTTTATCAGCAAAAAAAGATGGTAAGGAAATAATGGCTCTAGTAAGGAATAGATAACAGGATACCATTTGTCGCGCTTTTATTCTAAGGCGAAACATTGAATTAAAGCATATTATGTGAATTCAAAGTAATTTGAAAGTGGTGCATAACTATTTCCTTCTATATACATATTTTATGAAGATTTTTTGTAAAATATTGAAAGTCCAGTTTTAAATTTGCGTCAGCCAAAGAGCCGAAATTTTCCTCTCTGTGACAGTAGCCAGCGATTATCGAGTGACGTACGCGTGTAATTAGATCGTTTGACGTAGAAACACATATTAGTACATTAGAAGTACATAGAGGTATGCGGTAACAAAACATTTGGAATGTTTGGCTGTCTGACAATTAACGCATTGCTTGGTTCATGTTTTTATCTGCAACGGTCATTAACCTCAATAGCACACAATCACGGTATGCTGAGAAGTCTTTACTTACTAGAATTTCAAAACTTTATATCATTAACATTTTAAAGTTTTTTGTTGCGCAGAATTCTTGACTCATGCCCAGGATACTTCGAGTACCTACTATTTAAAAGTGGAATGTCCTAAATGAACTATGCTAGCGTTAAAGACAGCAATTATGCATATGCATACATATAACGGTAACGGTATTTCTACAATTTATCATTTGACATTTTTTTTTACATGTTAAATGTCAGCAAGACGCATCATGTATGTAATTAGGTATACTTATCCGAGAGTAATGGTATTTAATTGTAAAACTGTTTATCCTTAGATTTCTCAGCAAGGTGGTCGGAAAACAGAAAGGTCACATGCCGGATGACTTGGTAACGTGAGTGACGTCATAGGTCTGTCGAGCAGAGCGAATACGGTCGTTGCGCTAAATGACGGTCACATCCGTTGCAAAATGTTCGAATCTCCGACAGCTCTACGCGTGTGTGTACCATGTAGGTAGAGACGTAGGATTCTTAAACGCCAGGGTACATCTACTGTTACGCTAATTTCGTCCCAGTCTAAGATACGACATAATGTGAGATGATAGGTATTATATGTACAATAAACTTGAGTATAGGTATTAAATGTACAAAAAACAAAAATCTTAGCTATTGTAAAACGCGTCTGTCATTCTGTATAAGTGGGTATGTGCCTACATACTTTTTTTCAGATGTTTATATTTTGGTTCAATAATGATGATCAAAAGATTAATGTAATTTTTATACAGCTACGTAAGTAGGTAAGTACTTACAAAGGTTTCAGTCTTCGTCACTCACACACAGCGATGACATGAACTAGACATTATACGATCGGTTATCCGGATGTCCGAATATCGATGAACCCAATATAGACCATTAGGAAACACGTAGCCTTAATTATTTTTTTAATAAAGTTTTCAATAACTATGTAATAGCTATAGGTATAAAAACAACCTTACGGATGTCAAATATTATTATAGATTTAATTAAGTGAATGCAATTCAGAATTATTATATTTACTTAAGACCAGAACACGTAATCACTTTAAACTATTTATACAACAATAACCATAAACAAACATGTGTAAATAATTTACACAGTAATTAATTAGTCATCTATTGATATAACTAGACTAAGTTTACATTTATTTAACGAATCAATGGTTTATAGGTCGGACCTGATATCCAATGCAAAGATTTTTATGAGGCAGATTAAAAAAACATAATTTTGCGTGAGATGTACACAGAGAGCAACCAAATCTTGATTAGGGGGGTTGTGGATATCCACGATGCCTCAGATCATGGTTCTTTTGTTCTTTCATTAAAATCTTGAGTACATTAACCTTTAAAAAAACATATTTTATTCCACTTTTATCCCTAAAGTTATTGAACAACAAACATTTTTGAAACTGGTACCTACTTCACATCATTAAACAATTTACAAATATAAGCCACATTGCAAAATCGAGTCATACACTCATACAAAAACTGTTGTTGGCCTGCTTTGACATGTAGCAATTGGAATTGTAGATGAGATGAATTGGAATATCATCAACAGCCTTTAGTAGTCCACTGTTGCACAGAGGCCTCTCCTTGGAAAGCAATAGTTCTTCAACTAAATATTTTCTTAATGTTATGCGTCAATGTTTTTATAAAGCACCCATTTTTCTCAACAGCTTTGTATTTTGGCTTAAGGAAGCCTGCAGTACAAAAACAGAACGTTTTCTTTCTCTATAAGAATTATTACTGTCCTATTGTATCCTTGGCTCCCCTTTTTCTTACCTGCATTTGATGATACACTTAATGTTTGTCGCAAACCACGCTCTGCTTAAAATGTTATGTTAATATTACATTATGAAATTACCATAGAGTACAACCTTACTAAACTATCAAGTTTTGCTGGATGCGTAAATATATTCGAGTTTGAACCACTCTGTTCCCGGTCGTAAAGGTTCGGATTGTTTCGAAATTAAGCTTTGTCTGTTCTATTCGCTGAAACTAAATATATACTAATACAGTAACTGTTTCATTTTTGTTGTAATATGCACCTAATTCCAAATTATTGGTTACATACCTATATCTTGGTAGGCTTACATTGTCGAGGATTGCTTCTAAACGTGAATCAATTAGAATGTGGTAATAAAGATGACTGTTGCGGATTTGCAAGTTTGTATTAGTTATTTTTCATGTTATCTATATTAATTGAGATATCTGAGAGATATTAGTAAACTGTCGTATATCAAAAAACATTGAGGTCATGCGTCATCCCATCGAAAATAAGAATAATTGCTTTCATGTGCCGAAAGAGCATGACGCCTGTGGAGAAATAAATAAATCCCATACCGAAATAATCTTATGTAAACATATCATTCTCAGTATTCGCTCTTTACTTAGCATTAAGAAAACATAGTTTTGATTCAAGTGACGAATACGATTATAAATATTCGTTGAAACGCACTCGTGAGATGTAAATAGAAGGCGCGCGTCCGCGCAACAAACACACCACACATCAACTCAGTCATTTTGAAGATACTATTTTATTTACCTGCCTTTACTGCTTTCTAAAATAAAGCTGATGAGTAGTCGCCTTTTTGCCAGGCGGTTCTATTAATAATTGCTCAGACGCAAATATCGCGTGTTTCTCCCGACCATTGACGCAATCTGGTGAAAAATGTTCGGGTGTTATTTAATGAATTGGTGGAAAGTTGGGCGGGCGCCTCCGAGACGGGCGTGTTGGTACTCCATGAACTTGAGCGCTTTTATGATCGGGAGTGGTGACGCCGTCACAGGCGTCAGCGCTGGGCTGGCACGCGCCTCGCATCGTCGCTAGCATTGGTCTGGCACTAATGCCGCTAATGACTGCCTTTATAGTACATATAATGTAACCATAAGCCTGTTTACGTCTGTCTAATCTACAGGATCAGGAATTGCTTTGAAAATATCTTCAATGAAAACTGTCAGTGTTTCACCTCTTTCTTGCCTTGTACAAAATCCGTTTATTATTTAACAAACAAACAGCTGCGAACTGAACTCAGTAATTGCGTTATATAAATATGTTGACAAGTTCATGCCCAGCAGGAAAATACCACATTTCTTGATTGAAATTTTAAGACTATTTAATTTTTAAAAGTATACAGTTACGTAGAAACCGCACTTAACGTTCTTAAAATGCATTATGTCCATTTTCTTTTTTATTATTCACAACAGATAATAGAATTGCCTTGAAGACAATCGAAGAAAAATCTAAACTAATCTATTTGTTTACCTATTTGTACTGAAGAGAACTAATAATATTTCATTCCTAGAACCATGACCACTATTGACAGAAGATTTCATAAAAATCGACTGGCGAATAGTTAGGTACTAATTTTCAGGATCATTCTCATTGCCAACAGTTCATTGCTAACTGATTGTGGGTCTACTAAATGCCACTTGGAAAATCAATATTCTATTTATAAACCTTTGTTTTGATTTTATCACAAATTGTATTATGTATATAGAAACCGTTTCGTAAGATTTTCTTTCTACAAAGTGGAGTTGGGCTAAAATTCTTCCCTGTGCAGAGAAGAATCGTGGCTCAGATGATGTTTACTTTGAAAGCCAGAAATCGTAAATTATAAATATGGTCATCAACAGCCTTTAACAGTCCACTGCTAGACATGGGCCTCTCCTTAGAAAGGAGGATTTGGCCCTACTATACCACGCTGGCCAGACGGGTTGGTACAGGGTTTGTGTACACACCCCCGTCGATGGCTGCAACAGCCGGAGACGACGGGGACAGCGAGGCTGATGTTCCGTCCGTCAGGGAATCGGAGTTGGGGGCGGCTGTTCTACGGATTAGATCCAAGAACACTGCCCCCGGGCCGGACGGGGTTCCAGCCCGAGTGATGGCGCGAGCCCTCGACTACATGTCGGACCACCTCAGGGGGGTGTTGGACGCTAGCCTGGCGTCCGGAAGCTTCCCTGAGCGCTGGAAATGCGGGAAGCTGGTCCTGCTGCAGAAGCCGGGACGGCCTGCCGAATCGGTCGCGGCCTATAGGCCTATCGTGTTGCTAGACGAGGCGGGTAAACTTTTTGAGAGGGTGCTCTCTGCCCGCATCGTCCGGCACCTTTGCAGCGGCGGAGTGGTGTTGGCGGTGTCCTTGGACTTCGCCAACGCCTTCAATAGTCTGCCATTCAGCTGCATCAGGAAAGCGCTCCGCTACCACGGAGTGCCAGAGTACCTGAGGCGGCTGGTGGCAGATTATCTTGAGGAGCGAACCGTAATGTACGAGGACCGAAATGGCGTCTTGAGACGCAGGGCCATGTCGTGCGGTGTTCCGCAGGGGTCTGTCCTAGGACCTCTCCTGTGGAACATCGGGTACGACTGGGCCCTACGAGGGCGTCTCCCTTCCGGGCTGGGTGTAATCTGCTACGCGGATGACACCTTACTCACGGCCCGGGGGGCTAACTTCCAGGAGGCGGCGCGCCTGGCCGCCAC